ATGGCCCCCAGTGGCCCCAAGAATCTATACAGGGGCCCCAAGTAGCCCCAAGAAGCTATACTGTGCTCCCCAGAAGCTATATATTGGCCCCCAGAAGCTGAATAGTGGCCCCCAGGAGCTATACGGTGGCTCCCAGAAGCTATACAGGAAACCCTGTGGCCCCCAGGAGCTATACGGTGGCGCCCAGAAGCTATACAGGGGCCCCCAGTGGCCCCCAAAAGCTATACGGTGGCCCCCAGAAGCTACACGGGGGCCCCCAGAGGCTATACTATGGCCCCCAGAAGCTATATAAGGGCCCCCAGAAACTATACTATGGTCTCCAGAAGCTATATGGTGGCCCCCAGTGGCCCTCGGAAGCTATATGATGGCCTCCAGAAGCTAATTAGTGGCCCCCAGGAGCTATACGGTGGCTCGCAGAAGCTATACAGGGGACCCCAGTGGCCCCAAGAAGCTAAACGATGGCCTCCAGAAGCTATACAGGAGCCCCAAAAAGCTACATGATGGCCCCAAGAATCTATATGATGGCCCCAAATGGCTCCCAGAAGATGTGAAGGGCCCCCAGTAGCCCCAGTAGGCCTGCAGGAACTGTACTGTAGCCCCCAGAAGCTATACAGGGGCCCCCAGTGGCTCCCAGAAGCTATAAGATGGCCCCCAGAAGCTATGCAAGGGCCCGCAGAAACTATACGGTAGCCCCCATAAGCTATACGATGGCCTCCAGAAGCTATACAGTGTCCCCCAATGGGCCACCATATAGCTTTGGGGGCCACCGTATAGCTTCTAGGGGCTACTGGGGGCCCTCTATAGCTTCTGGGAGCCATTGGGGGCCATCATATAGATTCTGGGGGCCATCGTGTAGCTTCTGGGGGCTGCTGTATAGCTTCTGGGGGCCATCGTATAGCTTCTTGGGGCCACTGGGGTTCCCTGTATAGCTTCTGGGTGCCATCATATAGCTCCTGGGGGCCACTAATTAGCTTCTGGGGGCCATCATATAGCTTCTGAGGGCCACTGGGGGCCACCATATAGCTTCTGGAGACCACAGTATAGTTTCTGTGGGCCCTTGTATAGCTTCTGGGGGCCATCGTATACCTTCTGGGGGCCACTTGGGGCCCCTGTATAGATTCTTGGGGCCACTGGGGGCCATCATATAGCTTCTAGGGGCTTCTGGAACCTAATAATTAATGTATTTTGCCAGGTTTCACCCAAATCTTCAAATATGGGGGCTGTCAGGAGGGAGTTAAATTAAGTTATAATTTTTTTAAACAAATTCATGTGACTATTTATCTCTAAAGCAAAGGGAGAATAACTTTCTTCTAACTCATTAAGAACGTGAAATGTAAAAACCTCATTATCAAGTGATGTTACCATAGCATCTGAAATGTTAGAAATATTACATAAACCATATGATGAATCATCTTCACTTTTAATCATGCTTTATACTTCAGATACTTTAAGAATCAAGAATATGAAGAATATGATGAAAATCAGACTATATGTATACTATTTATATGAATCATTGAAAGTGCACGGTAAATTATAAAATTGGATCTTTAATATACAGGGTCGAGATAACCGTTTTGACCCCTGTGAATGATAGTCAAAATACATGTAAGCTTTCCACATACTTATTAGTTCAGTTCAATACATGCACATTTTTACTCAATAAGATTGAAACAACTATGGTTGTTACTTTTTTGTTAATTTAATATTCTTTTTATAATTGTCAAACAATGACGTTCACAGTAGCTGCCTCCAAAGCTGGATAGTTTTGTTAATTCTGATCCAATTTTGAAGATTTGTTGTCTCTTTAATGTTGCTTATATCTTCCACTCATCAAATAAGGGACAAAACTATGCACACATTCTGTCATACGGCCTCAGTTCTAATAGATATGTTGCTATACTAGGATATTCTGAACCAAAAATGGATTGATGACGTCACAATTAATGCAAATTAGCTAATTTGCATACTTGAATATTGTAACCATATAGTAAATTTAATAAGGTTTAATTAGATACCAATATCATCTCTATAGACCAAATAATGGCGAAGCTACATTGATTCAAGACTCCAAGGTAGATGTATGTATATTATTGTCAAATAATGACATTCACGATAGCTGCCTCGAAAGTTACATAACTTTCGTAATACTGATTCAATTTTGAATCTGTTTTCACTTTTATGTTGCTTATACCTTCTTCTAATAGAATAAAGGACAAAACCTTTCAGAAATTTTGCCATACGGCCTCAGTTCTAATAGATACGTTGCTATAGTTGGAAATTCTGAACCAAAAATAGATTGATGACGTCATAATTTGAATATCTGAAATTTATTGAAAATTTAACGAGGTTCAATTTGGTACCAATATCATTTCTATAGACCAAATAATGACAGAGCTACAAATGATTTAAGATACCAAGGTAAGATGTCTAAAGATGCGTAACCATGGTAACTGAATGCCGCCATAAAAGTACTATGGGACATTAGTTGGCAATGTTAACAAATGAATTCATTAAATAGACACCCTAGGGATTACAAAAATGTATGTGACTTATTCACACATTATGGGTGCATGGGAACCCCTTGTTCCTACTATACTATTAGTTTAGCATAGAAAAAGATAGACATGGAGAAATGTTGCCACCTAAATGATGCCACGATGAGGTCACTTAGGTTGCAAAATATTTTCAATATGCTAAAACATTGAATTGGCACATCAGATATGACATTCTATTATTGAAATAGTGGGTCCTTTGTTCAATCTTTATATTGTTGTTAAAAAGATAATATGTTCTTGCACTGTATAGTGAAATATTTGATGCTTAAAAAAGTTCAACTTTATTTGAAAAATTGCGGGAAATTCGGAATTTAAGAAATGAAAAGCTGACAACTTTGATTTCAATTTTTTTTACAAAAATCTCTTAAATCATTTTTTAAGTAATGATAAATAGTAAATATATGAAAAAAGATGTTTTCAAACTCTACATGGGGATTGTAAAGTTAGCAGATCCTTAGTTTCGATGCAAATTATATATGTTCACAGGATGCATTCTATAGCAGATGCATTTGAATTTGTAAACTGCACCCTATGTAAGGGGAAGTTATTTCAAAAAAAGGTAAATGACATTCCATATAAGTTGCCATAGTCATTCCACAGTTCAAGGTGTCATTTGTGTAGCCCATGTCTTTTGGTCAATCCAATTGACCCAATATCACACGGGGAAATGACTTTGACAAACCTGCAAAAAGTAAAATCCTGGACATCTTCTAAATCACCTCTTATTAGGATTCAAAGTTCAAAACTTTGATTGACTGTACAATAATATTGTATTTCAGATACATTGTCTTTGAAATATAATGTACATCAGAATTTTATATCATTTTTGGCAAAGCCTGTCCATGCCCTTGTTCATTTGTCCACTTTCTGTCCATGGACAAGTATTTGCATTTCCGGGAGTGTAAAATTGGTTGTTTTGAATGGCGCCTCTTGTTTTTTTCATCTGCCCCTTGTGCAGAAAGTTACTGAAACCACTGCCACTTGCTCACCCAGTAAAAGGGGCGATCCATATATTCTGATAAAAATGCTCTCATTTTGTGATTTTTTTCACACATCCCTCTCTTTTTTCAGAAAATGTAGATTATGTAATTACACATACGAACATACTGAGGCAAAATCTATTGCCTCAAGGTAGGTATGAGCTTATTCGCCCTCTACATTATCCTTTTTGAAGGGTTTTCCTGATGGTAGAACATTTAATTACTCTACATTTAATTTGCGGCACTTGCTCACCCAGTACAAGGGGCGATCCATATATTCTGATAAAAATGCTCTCATTTTGTGATTTTTTTCACACATCCCTCTCTTTTTTCAGAAAATGTAGATTATGTAATTACACATACAATGCTAAAATATTATAGCTATATCTTAAATTTTCAATGAGATAAGGTTGCCATGGTAACCTGTATCAAGAGTAGGCAGGTCAATTAAATTATAACATATAAATATCATAATAACTTGTTATTTTAATTATTTTAAAGCATGCGGAAATCATGCATTTTTTCTAAAAAAGTTTGGTATTGTTACTCGTTGTTTGTTGCTAAACAAGTGTTTATATGTGCTCACTATAACATCACAACAAATCACAATAGCATTGAAGGACAGAATGGACCAATTGACATTATATGTCATGGAACACACCAAAAATCAAATTGTCAGATGAGGTTCAAATGTGGCTGACGCAGAGTGTGACATTAACGGATACATTAGGGAATACCATTAGATTTTCTATCAAGAATAAGTAAGAGAACACTGTCAGAGACATACATGGACTCATTAAGTACATGGGCAAGGTGTTATATCTGCATAAAGAATACTATAGGTACACGTAGTATCCGAAAGAGGAAGGCATGATCACTGTTGAAGATCATCCACAATATGGTTGCAAGAAAAGCTTGCGAACAGAGAATAACACTACAATAAATTGAGATGTTACTTATAAAAAGATAGCTATCCCAGTGTGTAAATTCTGAGACTAACATAAAATTTATGTTAGTCTCAGGTAAATTATCAAACGAATGCAATAGGGGTATGGAGCAGATCAATGAATAGTTGTCAATGACTGGAAGATGCGTTTGATCTGCTTTAAATAGGTACCGAGGAATCACTAGATTAAAGCTGGACCTTGCCCCGAAACGCAATCTTGGGTTGTTTCGGGGGTGAACTTTATCATTTTGAGCTTAATGAAAGGTTCAGGTGCAGGTTTAACATATTTATCTATTTTCGACATTATAATTTAATTGGTCTGCCCATCCTAAATACAGGTTACCATGGCAACCTTATTTCAAATAGTTAAAATATTTTAACATCGTATGTGTAATTACATAATCTACATGTTCTGAAAAAATAAAAGGGTTATGTGAAAATGAGAGCATTTCAGAATATATGGATCGCCCCTTGTATAAGGAAATCTGTACTTGGCGCGTCATGTTTATTTACAAGAGCTCTTCAAACAGTTTAGAGGTCAACATGGCGGCAAATTTTGAGACGGGGAGTTTTAAAAATGGAGAAATAAACGGACCCGTGAGCCCGGTCGATCCATCATACACTCCTAAATTATTACATACAACAAGTGTTAGTATCGACAAAATCGATGGAGATAGAAATCATGAGTCTAGAATACTCTGCTTGTTCACAGGAGGCACAATTGGAATGACATCGAATCATGATGGAGGTTTGTCTGAATCGGATGTTCATTCATTAGTTTAGATTACGCTATTGCGAAATACCTATGTGAAATGTTGTAAACCAAATTTATTCACAGAGTGTACGAGGGTCCCTTTCTTTGGTATTAGGTTCTGCATTATAGACTCATGTTACTTTTAGTAATAGTCTAGCCCTAGGTATATAAGATCTAGATCTCCAAATACATTCGTAAATTCTAACTTGCAAGTTACAATAGGGTCATCTTGACCTGCAGGGTGCATCATATCATTGACATGAAGAAAGTGTATACAGAAGATATACATACAATGTTAGTGCTTCATATCCTTTAATATGACAATCCCAGAAGTCACTATGTTGATGACCCGGGGTTGATGCATTAATTTTCTGATCATCAAATTTCTTCGTTCTGCCATTAAACCCATACAATTATGGATTCAACTACACGAAAAGAATGCTAAAATACCAAGGAATCTATTGAAATAGGTATCTTAAGTGTAAGAAGCGTAGAAAATTCTCCCATGTTGTAATCGTACATCAAGACGTTCGCAGGACTATAGTCCTGGCACGGGATAAGACACATGTAATAATTTCAGCTAAGAAACTGTTTACTACCATGTTTTGCCATGCCCTGGGGCTGCAAATTAGAACCAAATGATCAATGAGGAGTTGGACCTACACAATAGGGTGGGCCCAGAAAAAAAAATTGGGCACAAAATTTCTTTTTTTAATTTCAGGCCAAATTTTTAAGAAAATGGGCTTCAAATTTTCAAAATTTGGGCCTACTTTTGGCTTTTAGGGGCCCAAATTTTTTTTTCTATGACCTGAAATTTTGGCCCCCCCCCTTGTTGGTTCCCAAATCCGCCCCTGTAATATTAGAATGTCTGTTGTGAAGAGCTGAGATACTTTTATTTTTAGTGTATGTCCCAAAGGCGAATTTCCTTGTAAAAGAGTTGCGAAAATTACCTATGTTCCATGATGACAGTTATAATCTGCTCGGTTCTGACCTCAATGATCCAGAGAGGCCTCTTGTTATGCCGTAAGTATCTCATATATTAAAACCTATCCAATAGAACACCTCTCTAAGGTACACCTTTCTACAAAATGAACTCAGTTTATCAAAAAGCAAAGTTTCCATTGAATGACTTAATGCTTGTTTTAACAAAAGAAGAACATACATGAACAATCGTCATAACAATTGTCTGAGTGGGAAGTACACCATAAACCAGCGAATGTTAATTCAAACAACCATCATACAAAATGATATATGTTTCAAGCTAGATATTACACAGTAATCCATGCATGCTCTGTTAAAGATCAGTATGTCCACTTGAAATGGTAAGGATTTCAAAAAGATAAAGTCATGGAATCTGGCGTATAAATCTCACTCAACATCATACATGAAATTGTGCCAATATTTTTACTCCATGTTAATTTCAAGCAATTATTTTTATCCAACTACATACCTAGGACATGCTAACAATATACCATGCATAACTATTGCATTTTACTCAATATAGCGCTGCTAAATTAGAGTACTTCTGTGTACAATGTTTCTTGTATTTTGCTGTAACAAATGGCAGTTGGTGACATTTTGCATGTTTGTGGAAGGGCACAGTATTATTCTGAGGTATTACTATTGTCTTATTGTAGGCTCTCAAAAGATGGCAAAAGAGTTGTGTATTGTGTCTATGAATATGAACCATTGTTGGATTCTTGTAATATGACCATGGATGACTGGGCCAGACTTGCAATGGATGTCAAGGTTTGAGAAAACGTTTCATTTGAGAATTGCATGAGATGAATAATTGATATGTCCTGGATATGTCACATAGCGTAGCTCAGAGATCATAAAAACAATTTTTACAATGTAAAATATAAATAAACACAAAAGCTATAGAATAATAAACAAAAATGAGTGAGAAGATTGTAATAATATTTTGAATGCAAGGAAAGTTACATGATACATTGAGTCAACTATGATCATCATTTTTATTACATTTTACGAAATTTCATTGTAACAATTAAAGATTGAAGCAATACTGTAAATATCTGTTTATTTTATTGCAGAAGAATTATGAGTTGTTTGATGGCTTTGTGATACTACATGGTACAGATACAATGGCATACACTGCATCTGCTCTCTCCTTTATGCTAGAGAACCTAGGCAAGCCAGTCATAGTTACTGGGTCACAGGTTGGTACATTTAATGTAACACACAGTTGCGCATGAACTATTGAAGGGCATTTGTATGTGAAGAGTTCAAGTGAATTTGTCCACAAATGTGTAACATTATAATTCCCATTTTATGGGATTTACTTAAGAAATATAGACCGAAAAGCAGGGGTTATATCGTCGAATACACCCCGTCGAATACACCCCGCAGGGCTAGGCACAAACGTTTTCTGTACCCCGAACGACCGAAGGGAGTGAGGGGTTCGAAAGCTTTTGTGCGTAGCCCCAAGGGGTGTATTCGACGATATTACCCCTGCTCTGAGGTCTATATTACGATTCGAACATGAAAACTCACCAAATTGTTTCGAATATTCATCATGGTCCGCCATTACTACGACCCACCGTTATGACGTCACACATTACACATATTAACTGGGTTATTGATCTCGAATATAACTCAGCTGAAGTATTGACTTTGTTTACAGTTTATAGAAGGCGTGAATACAGTCATGTTCGAATATGCTATATTTCACTTTTAGCCAATAGATTTAAAATCTTCATGACAAGCTTTGGGATCGGAGGGGAGTCAGGCATGTTTTTGACATAATACTGTTTTCCTTTGGCATCAAAAATAGAATGATACTATGAATATTATTTGTGTTTAGTGTGAATATTGTACATTATTGATGTGCAGACCTTGTCAAAGAAATACAGACCGTTTGCCATGTTATTTTCTTATTTGAACCTTTGCCATACCTAGATTGATATGCAATTTATTATACAGTACTATGTAATTTCAGATCCCTATATTTGAGACCAGGAGTGATGGAAGAGATAATTTTCTTGGGGCTCTTATTATAGCTGGCCACTATAATATACCAGAGGTATGTTTTGAGATCCTCATAGAGTATTATTGCTAGACTCTTTTTTTAAATATAGGCTATACTGGACTATGCTGAACACCCCACATTCCTGATCAAATTTCTTGTGCGCCCACATTAATATTTAATGGCCTTCCTTAATGACACTGTTTTTACCCACAACCAAAGCTAATAATAGATTTACTTAGGCTTGCTTTTCCCGTGTATGAAAAAATGTGATATAAAATAAGGAAATGAAATAACCTTTGTAGAATTCTTTTAAGTGTACTTCCCAATACTATTCGATATACTTTTCCATTCTGTATACTTCCCAGATACTATTTAGTGCACAGAAACTTTTCCATTCCATGTACATGTACTTCCCAATACTATTCAATGTACTTTTCCATTCTGTATACTTCCCAGATACTATTTACTGCACATATACTTTTCCATTCCATGTACATGTACTTCCCAATACTATTCAATGTACTTTTCCATTATGTATACTTCCCAGATACTATTTAGTGCACACATTCTTTTCCATTCCATGTACATGTACTTCCCAATACTATTCGCTGTACTTTTCCATTGCATGAACTATGCAAACACTTTTCAAAGTGCAATACTTTAAATTTCAGGTGACTTTGTACTTTAACAACAAGCTACTTAGAGGCAACAGAGCCACTAAGGTCGACAGTGGTAGCTTTGACGCCTTTGACTCACCCAACCTTAGGCCTCTTGTTCAGATGCAGATAGGCATTCACGGTACTCACTTATACAGTAGCACTTTCTATATTGCTTCAATCCATTAATATGCTAGTACTCAATAACAACGGTATTCTTACTTTGTTAAATTTTTTATTGATATTTGTGAAAAAGTAATAACTTGTATAGTCAAACAGTTTTTGATGAAATATAAATCCATTGAAACTAATTTCAGCAGTTTAAACTGAGACTTGGAATCAACTAAGTGGCAGTTTACATATTGGTAAATCTACATACACTGTCTGTTTGAGTTGGAATTTTCTGCCTATTTTGGCTATTTTTGTACTTTGAAAGGCAAATGTTGAAATGCAGAATTAAATCCAATGCTAAGGGCTGATGTTAAAAGACCGCTATTCATTTCATGCTTTTCTGCTAATATAAGGAACAGGGCCGTAGGGAGAGGGGGTTTGTAGGGCTCGTGCGAACCCCCCCCCCCCCAAATCTTGCCTAAAAAAAATTCGAACCCACCCTTTCTGGCAATTACTCAAGTAAAAAGAAATGGCAATTCTCATGTAATAATTGGTTAACTTTGGTCTAATAATTATGCATTTTGATAAAAGTTAACCTATTTGTTAAATGAGCATTAAATCAATGAAAGTTGAATGCCAATAAATAGCTATTTATTACACCTATTTATTATTCTAACAACTATGTTATAATGCTCTTTGAATAATTGGGTAACTTTTTGTCATCCTTGCTACCCTAGGGGATAAAAATTAGCTAATTGTTAAGATTGGACTTAAAAAAAATGTGGCAGTGAGTATTAGCAAAATATTAACTTTCCCGCTCTTTTTAAACCAAAAGAAAAATGGCTGACAAAGAATGTTCAACTGTAAGAGATTTGGGTAATTTTATGATTTTATAATAATAGTATGAAAATGGCCAATCAAATATAGATTCAGAAGTTACTGACATACTTGAACATTCTGCATGTCTACTTTGTGAGAGGTAAAATGTAAGTATTGCTGTTTTATTCCAGTTTAGATGGGCAAATCTTCTTTTCTTTCTGAATTTATAAAGGCTAAATTTTAATTCTATTCATACAGTCAGAGTGGTCAAGCATAAATGTGTTGTGTATGACTAATTGTACCATGCAGTAAAAATATAAGGTATTTTATAAAGATTATGAAGATAAATACTGCTGGAGGCCTAGAGGGTCCTTCAATTACTGTGAGCCTTCTTGCCTTCAGGACAATTCTGATCGATGGGTAAAATTACCAGTGATGTCCCATAATAATTGCTTATATCATCTTACATACCCAGGGCCAACCTAAAATGAACAATTTGCTTGAGATTTCCAAAAATTGTGGTACTTTTACGGGAGATTTTTACAAAATCTGGAAGTTTTTTAAAAAATTGTTAGTTTTCGCCGTAGATTTTAAAAAATCTGGAGTTTTTGAGGTGAAATAACTGGAGTTTTTACGGTAGATTTGAAATAAACCGGTACTTTTTTTTATAAAAGCGGATTATCTCCAGTTTTTTTTCTAATAAACGCAATAGTTTTTGCGGTAAATTCTGCAAAAAGTGGTACTTTTGTGGGAGATTTTTGACAAAATCTGTATAGTTTTTGCAAGAGAATTTGCAATGAATTAATTTATACGCTTTGCATGGCCAGATTTGAATATTCACTCGAATTACATATACGTCACATATTTACTTCGAATTTGTGTGTCCCTACCCATTTTGTAGACCATAATGCATCTTGGGTAAGAGTAATGCAACAAATAGGTTTTAAATAGCTAATAATTAGGTAATACTCTGTTAATTCTTAGCTAACGAATACCTAAAAAATTTATCATGCAAATTAGAGAATATTACCACAATAAATATGTACAATATTTAGGTAATATTCTGTTAACATATAGCTTATTATTGGAAGATAATAAATACATGATTATTAGATTTCTAATTTTACCTTATTGTTACAATGTAATTTTCATTTGATAATCAGTCAATATTCTACATGAGTGTTGAATGTTAACAATACCTTATTATTAACACCTATTTATTAACGTAATTCTCTCTAATTTGCATGATAAATTTTTTAGGTATTTGTTAGCTAAGAATTAATAGATCTAGAGTATTACCTATTTATTGTCAATATTTTCCCATTGACTTTTTTCACTTGGGTATGCAAACCTCCAAACTTTGAGTAAAATTTTTGCAGTCTTTCAATAATTTATCGTTTTTGATTACCCAAAGACAATTGAGTTATATGTCAAGATGGAAATATGTGAGATTTATAGCTTCATTTTGAGTAAAGAAGATTTAAAAAAACAGAAAAACAAAAAAAAACTTCTAATCAATAATGGGCGATAATAGGTATGCTCTTTGCACTTTAGGCCTCAAATACTGAAGTAATATCTTCAAAATGAATTCAAATGCAAAAATAAAGCATACCTACCAAGTTGAAATTATCTGATTGCTGTACATAACGTCAAAATGGTCTAATTTTTGATATAAATCAGCAGAGAATTTTGAACATGTGAATGTTTAGTGACACTGGGCCGTGATGCACCAAAATTGTGAACGCTAGAAAATTCTTACTTACAACGTTCTTATTTTTTCATGCTGTAATTAGATCAGAGAGCAATAGTATAGATCACTCACACAGAGTTGTTTACTGATTTTTGGCTCCTATTTATTTATAAAGCTCTTTGTACAAGCGATTGAAAATTGGGGGGAGGGGGTTCTATGTCTGCTAATTTCTGTGAATTTGTGATATGTTGGGTCCAAATTTAAAAAAATCTGCCCAAATAAATGAACTTGGTCTTGGGATATTTTACCTATTTTTTGCTTTTGCAATTGTTTGAGATTTGGTAAACTTGAGAAAATTTGAAAAATTTTATCAAATTTGGCAAAATTTAAGCAAATTTGGCAAGATTTAAGCAAATTTGGTAAAAATTGAAACAAATTTGACAAAATTTAAGCAAATTTGGCAAAATTTAAGCAAATTTGGCAAAATTTAAGCAAATTTGGCATAACTTAAGCAAATTTGGCAAAATTTAAGCACATTTGGCAAATTTGGCAGAAAATATTAGAACCCCCACCTGACAAATCCTGGCTACGCCACTGAGGAAGATGTCTGTGCTTTAATTATGGCAATTAACAATTTTGCCAAGAAAGAGTAATTATGAGATTGGGATCAAAGTGTAAAAATCATTGAAATAAACAGCAATATAAGAATAAAGATATACAAGCTAAATCCAAAATGATCTATGACATACAACTGTAGTTAAGTGAGGTACACTAATGTGGTTTGCGATTTAACCTCATTTGCAATTTATGTTTTAGCCACAACTTAAAAAATCAAAAAGTCCTGGTGGAACCCCTCTGACTAATTAACCCAGGCAGCATATGCTATATATTGTTATTAACTAGTAGCATGTGTTTATAAAAGATGTAGAAGTTAAAGTGAGAATCATAATTTCTTAAGAAGTAATTTGTTTGATTGCAATTGTTATTAAAGATGATCTTTATTACATCATTTTTAGCATCAATTAACTCAGCAGTCTGGACCAGTAAACCTCACTCACCATTTGACAAATTTTATTAAAGATATTTTTGGATGGGTTTTCTTGTCAGCAGACCACAGGGATTACTGAAAATATCCAATATATCATAAGACTGCTAAGGGTTAATAATTCCTGTCTAGTTTAGTATGCACCTCTCTTACATCCATCTATTAAATAGACCCTTCATCATAGAAAACACCTCTATATAGAAAAGAATAGCTCTCCAAACTAACACAGATTTAAAGGTGAATAGATCTTCATAACACACATATTTAATGATATACACCTCTTTATAGCAAACATGTATTTAATGGTGAACACCTTTTCCTACCAAACCCATATTTAGTGATGAACACCTCTTCCTAGAAAACACATGTTTTAAAATTTCGAAAACCCCTTCTTAGCAAAAATATATTTAATGGTTAACACATTTTCTCTCCCGAGGAATTACATATCTAATGGTAAACACTTCTTAGCAAACGCATATATAATGGTGAACACCTCTTCCTAGAACATGCAAGTTTTTGATGAACACCTCTTCCTAGCGAACACATGTTTAATGGTGAACACCTCTTCCTAGAAAATGCAAATATTTGATGAACACCTCTTCCTAGCGAACACATGTTTAATGGTGAACACCTCTTCCTAGCAAACACATATTTAATGATGAACACCTCTTCCTAGAAAACAGATATTTAATGGTGATCTCCTCTTTCTAGAAAATGCAAATTTTTGATGAACACCTCTTCCTAGCTAACACATGTTTAATGGTGAACACCTCTTCCTAGCAAACACATATTTAATGATAAACACCTCTTTCTAGAAAACACATGTTTTATGGTGAACACCTCTTCCTAGAAAACACATGTTTAATGGTGAACACCTCTTCCTAGCAAACACAATGGTGAACACCTCTTCCTAGCAAACACATGTTTAATGGTGAACACCTCTTCCTAGAAAACACATGTTTAATGATGAACAGCTCTTCCTGTAAAACACATATTTAATGATGAACACCTCTTTCTAGCAAACATATATTTAATGGTAAACACCCCTTCAGTCTTCATACTAAGCACACATTTGATGGTGAACATTTCTTCTTAGCAAATAAATATTTGATAATGAACAACTCACCCTAGCAAACTTATTAATTAATCGTTAATTAATCCCTCTTTATAGAAATCACATATTGAATGGTGAGCAACTCTTCACAATACAAACATATTAATGCCCTTTTATTCCACCACATAAGGTAAAAATGACACATTTGTATTTGACATAGTTCCTTGACCAAACTTTGCCCTTTAACTCGTTATATAAAATGACAAATACATGTAAATGTTTTATCATTTATATATACATTTAAATCTGAAATGATTATTTTGGATTAAATTGATTTCATATACATTTACAGTGAGATGGGATGCGGTCTTTAAGCCTGTCAAAATAGAAAAGTTCAAAGTTTCTACAAACTTTTGTCCTAATGTGGGAATTTTGCGCTTATTTCCCAGTATCACTGTCAATACGGTATGGCTAAATATGGTGTTATATGCTTAGAGGTGTCGAGGAAATGAAATGGGACTCTAAGAGCAGAAATACTTCTTAGAATTTCAGAAAAGGATTGATTATGCTTATTAACTCATTTATGTTAATGTTAAAACTATATGCTCTTAGAGTCCTTTCCTGGTTGCTGGAAGATACCACCTTATGGATTGACTTTATGAGCCAATATCTTCCATATGCCAAACTATCCCAAGTGGTATGCTTGACATAAGTCAAGTTCTTATTTTAAACAAAATCAGTTATATCTTGATTGTTAATTAATGGGCAAGCATGATGGCAGGTGTTGGAGAAAGACACTTAGAATAAGGTAGATTCGCATGATTGAAATTTCAAGAATTACCGCAAAGTAATTAATTATATATATCTTTTAAATATTATTTGGATATTATTATAAAATTCATAGTTTAAAATCTGAATGTTTCAAATGATTGTTCATCCCCCTATTTTTCACATTTTTGTAAACGCCATACGTTTTTGTGAACTACCTTAACTCTTAAGGGTCTGAACTGATATTTTGTATAGTAATAAGGACTGGCTTGACACTACCTAACCCTCTCTAATGAAAACACATACTTTCTATAATCGTAACTACAACAGGAAAGTTGATCCAGCACTTCCTTGGGTCTATGATAGCTAATAATATGACCTGTAAAGGCTGCTACAATTTTGTGCTTCTAACACTGTCATAGAATTAACTTTGGGCAAGGGAATATAGATGTGCAATGCTTATTGCATACATAATATAATTTGATTATGGGTTACTTATTAATGCCAGATGTGGTGTATCAACTGTCACCTGTTGCAGTTACTTTGTATTACGCTTTGGGATACTGCAAACTAACTTCACACATATGTTGGATATGTTTATGTTCACAGGGAAATTGATCTTTGTGGTTTCAACAAGTGGTGCTTTCATTATATTATTTGTTACCCAGATGCTTTATTATATGCATATTTTGGAACATAAGATATATTACCACTTTATCGGATGATATGTACTAACATGTAAGCAGTCTAGAACAGTCTACAGCATAAAGTATTTTCTCTCGGAGCCTAATTGAATGTGAGTTCAAACAATATGGTTTTTTAATGGAAGTATGTTTAGGGGGTTGGGTCATCAGTATTTTTATATTTTTAGGAGGGAGAGGGGGGGGACTTATACTTATCTCAATAAATCTATTTTAGGTTTTTTCATTTGTCTTAATAGACCACCCTGTATTTTTACAGGCGTATCACAGCTTCAAGAACTCTTTATGTTGTTGCCTAAGACTGCATAGTTAAGACATAACACTCTTATTTTAGTGCGATGGGACCAGATTTTCCGTTCTGGAATTCCACAGGCATTTTCAGTCCACACTGATCTTTGTCCACATGTTGGAATTTTGCGTCTTTTCCCCAGTATCACGGCTGACACCGTAAGTTTGCTTCTTGCATCTTGTTTTGTTTGATTGTCTTTCATTGCAGCATTTTATTTTCATGTGAATTCAATGTGTGTTATAATGCGTGTGGACTATATTCTGTCATGATCATTTTTGCATGGTTCAAGGAGTAGAATTTTTCTAAAGGAAGATACTGAATGGGTATATTTGAATGGTAAGGTTTGTGCTCTTGATGGTAGGGCTAGTACGCAACACAATTTGGACCAGAATATATTTTGGAACTTGCCTTTGGAATTTTGACTTTCAGAATTTTAGACCTGAAATTAACTTGCATAAAAAGCATGAAAATCAATTATAAATCATTCTTTTACTAAATTATTTATTACATATAAAACAGTAATACTTCTAAAACAGTCTATTTCTGAAGATAAAATCAAATTTATCAGACAATAATTTTGTTTCGTGCCAGCCCGAGTTATGGTATCTGATGAAATGAGGTAAATATGGAATTTGATTCCATGTTTTCCAATGAAGGGATGAGTAGTATAGGGGATGTAGGGAATGTAGGCCTCATATTTTGAAAAGTATAGGTTAGTTAAAAAGTTCCTGTAGTTTTTTTGTCAGCATTCATGCACCGCTTGCATGCTACTTTTTAAAAAGACAATTTTTCACATTTTGCTTCACTAATTGTGTAATGCTTTAAATTCAAATGCATATGTATATAACATCAAATATCAAGTGCTTTTTTGTTCATTCAAGATATTTCACCTGGTTTATAGGGCTTTAAGTTTGAGTAATTTTTACTCACAATTAATTTTACATATGTATTATACTTAAGAAGAAATTCCAAAACCAGATCCCATACATTATTGCTATCAATGATAAATATACAACCATAAGAACCTATTAAAATAAATATCACACAATTTCTAATCTAACAGCCTACTTGTAATTCAGGAACATTTCTCGATTGTATGTATTTATGAGAAACCATGTAGTATTTATAGATTATTCATAAACCGTAGAGACTGCCCTTATAAAAAAAACAACCATTTTTCCGAAATTCAATGGTTTCATTGCATATCATGTAACCATCATTTCAACCTTGAAGATCAAAGGAAAAATCATTATATCAACCATTGCAAAACCATTACAACCATTACCCATCGAAATTAACAGTTACAATTGATTGCAACCATTGATGGAGAACTGCAACTATTGCAACCATTAATCCTCAAAATGAATGCTCATGGGCAGACCTGTAGCCAGCTTTTGCACTTTTGACAAATTTACAAGGGGATTCATATTTTATAACTATGGCCAAAAATTGGCCAAAATCACTTGAAAAGTCCTCAATATGGTGAAAAACTGCATGAATTTGAAATAATTTGTAGCTATGGCTATGTTGATATTATTAGTATGTTTTTTTTTAAGTAAGCATGTCTGTAGTCTGCAGTCTATCACACTCTTCTCTCATTAAAGAATTTTTTTTGGACTTTGTGTGTCTCGGATCTTGTTCTCAATGACAAGTCTGACGTCACTTCCAGAACAACAAAAAACATACACTTATTTGTATATATCATTTAATCTAATCCCTAGGGTTTTAAACACTTATTTCTATGACTATTGCAATCACTTATCATGTATCGTTTTTAAGGAGAATGAAAAATGCAGAAATCTTGTAAGAAAATAAGGATTCTTTTTTGTTTCAATTCAATATTGTTTAATTTTGCTGGCTTATTTTCATTAAGAAAATTGTAGAAATACAAATTAAGATTTCACATTATTGAATTCAGATAAGGTACATAAGACAGAGCAGCAACAGTTGCACAGACAGAGCGGCAACGGTTGAAATGCTAATTATAACCATTGAAAAGCTAATTATAACCATTGAAATGCTAATTATAACCATTGAACAGCCAATTAGATAAAGTTCTGTTTTGATAGTTTAACAAAATCATTACAAATTAATTCTTTTTTTAAGAATTATTTTTGTCTGAATAATTTATTTTTGAATTACCCCTACCATAATAATGACACAATCATAGTAAATTAGATGCGATTCACATTAAGATTTTTGAAGCCAGCTATGGTCTTGATGAATTCTCTTTTTTCTAGCGATAGTTAACTTAAGTTCATAATACAATTTTGAGACATATCCAACTTCAAGTTCATGCTCATAGGCATAAAACCATGTCTAGTAAAAGGAAATATCATCTATTCAAGTGTTTAAGATATTTCCCTTTCAGTCATTATGATTAAAGTTTAATCCAATAGTAATTAATATTTTTTGATTTGTAAATGATATTGAAGAAAAGACAATCAATCCGGCTCTTGCCTAATCCAAAGCATAAATACAAGGATGTTGATGTTTCAAAATCATGTTTTGGAACGTTTTCAGTTTAATCTACTTAATTGTTGTAATAAGACTTCTTTGATATTGAAGAAGCAGTTATTTTGGCACTAGCTTAATCCAAATCATAAATAAGAGGCAGGAAATACAATCTTTGATGTTTTATAATATGTATGTAAGTACTTTTAGTCAGAAACATTTTTTATTGAGACAGGAGAAAAACAGAAAATTTCCACAGAATGTTTTGTTGTATTGTTCAGTAAAACTGAATGAATCAAGAAGGAATTTCCAAATAAACTACAAGAATGACCAGTGCCAAAAATGAATACACTTGATTCTCTTCAATAAAATAGAAATACTATCTCTATGAACATGAACTTGAAGTAATATTCAGTACCAAAAATGAATAAACCTTATTCTTTATAGAAATAATATGCCTATGAGAATGAACTTGAAGTCATATCCAGTGCCAAAAATGAATAAACCTTATTCTCTTCAATTAATTAGAAATAATATGCCCATAAACATGAACTACTGTAATTTGAAACATAATAATGCATTCAATTTACTTGTATGTTCTTCATGTTTCAAATTGTCTCATTCTTAAACTAAATAATTTCCACAATATGGTTGAAAATAGTTGCAACCATTTGGTAAAATGCAACTTAAACAATCAATGGTTTGTAATGGTTGCAAATGATTCCATAATTTCAATGATATGCAACCAAAGTTTTCAACCAAATTTTAATGGTTGCAATGTAATGGTTGGAAACCATTTCAATTGGTTGCAGCAATGGTTATGCAATGATTTGTAATGGTTGCGCAATGGATTTTAACGGTTGAAATTCGGAAAAAAATGGTTGTTTTTTTCCTAAGGGTGGGCCAACATTTATTTTTAAGTAACTTATAAATAATCAGGTCTCATCTGTCATCCTCTTAGTTCAAAGCATATGAACATTAAAATGACATTAGTGTCAACAACATGCCCTAAATGATCAGATATTTTCCCTAAGCGCTTCCTCCAGTCCTTTTAGTTTAAAACTTATGAATATTGAAATGACATTAGCCTATTTTTGAGCCATATAAAGTAGATTCTTAAACCGCCAAAAAGTGAAATCACTTTGAAGTAAGAATGTTTTATGAATATATGGCCCAGTCCAAACTTAAACTTGCATTTGGTAATAATTATATACTCCCCGTTTACAATATAATGTAGGTTAAAGCGTTCCTCAGTGACACTATGCAGGGTGTAGTGCTGCAGACATACGGGGCAGGAAATGGTCCTGATTCCCGTAAGGACTTGATGGAGGTTTTTACGGAGGCATCCGAGAGAGGGGTCCTAATTATAAACACGACACAATGTAGTAGGGGTGTTGTCGCTACATCTTATGCCACGGGGAAAGTAGGTCTAGTATTTAACTTTCATTACTGTGTAAAACTGGTTGATAAAGTTAAATAAAGTAAGTCATCAACACATGATCTAAAAAATGATGCCATTTTGTGAGACATTTTGAAATTCACTGAAACATCTGTGAATATTGTAATTGTGTGCAAAAGACCCTTAAAAACTGTCAAAATCATAAAAGAAATTGAACTGAGTTTGAAAAAATCTGAGAAAATGATGCAAACTTAAAATCATAATTATCAAAAAGTTAACAAATTCCATGCATTCTACTGTACATCTTAAAATAATTCCAGGCACTTCTTGATGCAGGGGTGATTCCTGGCTCTGATATGACTCCAGAGGCCGCACTTTCAAAACTCAGTTACGTCCTCGGCAAGTCTGAGTGGGATATGGCACAGAAACGACAGGTACGATGGCTATATATTTATGAACTATTTTTGTTCTATTCATAACTTCATAACTTTGACGTGAGACCCTGGGATGGAAATAGGCAGAGATGGCTTAACAAGATAAATCATTTTTGATTTTTTCGACTCTGAAACCGAAGTTATTACCATTTTTCAAGAGAAAACTACATCTATAAGGATATTTCTGAACATATATTACTGATCCCATTGTTTGACTAAATGTTTATTCATACACAAATTAAATTGTTCACTGTGTGTCTTGCTTCCATTTATGCAAGGAAGGTATAATATGGTTGCAATATGTGCCAATATTAGGTGCTGGGAATCCGTTGTCTTCTATTTGTCAACTATTTTAACAATAATCGTTTTTGTGAATCCTGCTTTGAAAGGATAACAACATCTCTGATATAAGCATCCAAAAAATTAATATGATGATAAGCAGAATACATATAGTTTTTCAAATGGCTGTTTTCATACAATTAAATTTATTAATTACCAAAATATGTCATAATATTTCAGTTTTCTATCTGCACATAATTGAGAGATTTCGCACCTAGTGAAAGTACAACTTATAACGTATACTTATACTTATAGGTAAACGTACAAGGTGTTTCATAATGTGGGCTTTTCGTCAGGAAAGATCTTCTCGGACTGTAATAAATACAGGTCAAAGGGATGCCATTTGTACTTTCTTGAATTGTAGCATGTTAAGTTGATCCAAATGTGTTTGTCTAGAATAAAATAGGCTCATATATAGTACATATGTTATAGAACCATCTCTTCCCAAATTGACTTTTGGAGATGCTCGTTATGAAACACCCTGTATATCATATGTTGAGCTACTGAATGGGTCATTTCCAGGAATTGCTAGAACCTACTGGTTTGATTGGTGTTTCAAATTGATGGTTAAAGTATTTGATTGGATACTGTTCCCACTCAGCCAATTAATTTCAAAAAATGCTTGCGGTCAATTGTTCCACACACATGTAGGCAAATCTTTATACGGAGATCCAACTGTATACGTTATCATCTACGTAAATATACCGTTTTGTAAGTTCATTGAACTTATACTGATCATGAAAACATTGAAATAATCAACTTGTTTATGTAATGACTCACTTTAAAGAATCATGACTCACTTTAAAGGATCGTGTTTATAATACACTACAACAACAAGGACACGGAAGCAAGCATTTAATTATTATGTGCATAATCTACATGTGCAGATGACAGTGCATTCACAGTCTCTAGTTGATGGAGCTTTTCTATAACGGGAATAGTTATGTTCCATTAAGTACAATTTAAAATTGATTTAAGTAAATATAATAGTTCGACATGACCCTTTAAACTATACGTTTACCTATAAGTTGTACTTTCACTTATGTGCGAAATCTCTCTAATGATGACATATCTGCTTATCTAGCGTCATGTTACCGATCTAACTGCTAACATTCAGGAAATTTTGATTTTTAAGGCACTAACAAGTTAAACTGATGAAATACGCTGTGTTGCTATCTGATTGTAATTTGTTTTGTTAAAAGCTATTGATTACAAACATGCGAGGGGAGCTAACGATCCAGGAAAGTTGAAATGTTTAATATTAGACTATATCTGTCTTGACCGCTTTGTACACTCCCTGTTCAAGGAATGAAGTATCTGCGCATGCTTTGTTTTTATTTAATCAATCATCTCACCACCATGAAGTGACGACACATTGTTATAGCCACCATGTTTCAGTGTCTGTCTTGGTGCTCCGTGTCTGTAACAATTGTTACGCTTTTGTAATGACCACCAGGTGGTGACATTTTGTCACACTAACACATTTTTTAAGGGAGTGTTACTTTTGCAAGGAGTATAAATATTCATGGCTTTATATGGCTTGAAAGCTTTAGATTTATCATTACTTTTTTATCCAGACCTCCAGGTGGGTTACGACTGACTGACATTAGAAGTAGTGCATGAAAATCAATTTAATTGGATAATGCCTGACATGAGAAAAACACCATGACAATTTTGGTTCTTGTAAATTCAAAAATCAAAATAATACAGGCTATACCAGGGAACTCCCAGTTATTAAGAGGATAGTCCCAATTTTTCAAAAGGACAGACCCAGTTATTTTCAATGACTGATAAAGGATTAATCATGAATGGTTTTAATCTATCATTAATCATTTTGACCCCAATTTTTCCTTGATTTTTCAACATGAACTACAGTTTTTATAAACTCTCAATTCTCCCGATTTTTTGATTTTTTTGTTACTTTTTAAGTACTGATTTTCTCCCAGTTTTTTCGAGATGTCCAGAGAATGACCCCATATCCATAGATTTTTTAAACATTTTTTACTTGACATGTCATGTACATTGCAGATGTGATATTATAGATGCGTACTGTAAATATCCTAATAAAAATATAATAATAAGGAAATGCTTGAACTTCACTATGTGCATGATTTAATGTTGTTAATCTAGTACAATGAATGTGCTTTATTTTTTTCAAATACTAATACTGTTACTGTAAATATGTTCTAATTTAATTTTAAATTTAAGTACATCCATAATGATTGATGTAATGTATTGTCACATTGTCTCGTGTTTAACTGCATACAATGCAACTCATGCATGCTTTCCCTTATTTACCTCTTGTATACCAAATTTTTCAGTTTTGATAGCTTTAAGCTGTTGATTTGAAATATGTGATGTTATCAGTGATATAAGTGAGCATAGAATAACAACACCTATTTTAATACACAATTTGCATTAGTTAAACAAAATTGAACAAGTTAGAGCCATTTTAGTCAAAAATATTATGATTGTCATATCTACTGCTCTGGACAAGAGGTAAATGCTGGACTGATATAATTAAATCCTTTTGCAGAGGTGCAAAGAATCAAACTGCATTGGATCTACTCATTATACTTAAATAATACACAGTTATACTGTGTTTCTATTGGCCAAGATTGATAATGCATGCCCATCTAGCTATTCATTTTCTTGACCATTTGTTGAATGTTGTTTTTGTGTATTACAGATGTTGAATGTTAATTTACGAGGGGAGATGAAGGTAGCAACAGTAAAACAGAAACACTCTCTGCTGGACTTTAGTCTCATCCAGACACTTGCTGAGACTATGAAACTCAGCTCTAAAGAGGTATGTAAAGACTCCTCAGAAGTCACGTTACCATAGTAACCAATAATTGGAAAATTCAAATGAAAGAAGCTTTTTTGCTTGAAATATTATAAAAAGGTCAATTGAAGGTCTGGTGAGCCATAATCCCTACATGAATGTCCATTTCTTTGAATTATCAGTTCAAAAGAACTTTCTACAAGTACTGTAGTCCAATGGAAAAAATGGAAACCTGACAAAATCACTCTCACTCTAAATTTTATTGCACTTTGAAAACTGCCTTATCTTGTACCAATGGGCATGCATATTGGTGGGTGGGTGTTTGAGTGGGTGGGTGTTTGTGTGGGTGGGGGTGGATGCTACACTAATCTTGTTTATTAATCGCTTCATACATGATCACTGTTCCAATTCCAGGAGATTCATCTGCTAAGGAGTGCAATATTTCCTTCACTAATGTGCTCTGCAGCCAAGAATGGCGATGTTGATGGCCTGATTAAGTTAAAGACACACGTAAGTATATAATGTATGTATATAAAGATGACCATTGACACGAGAATTGCAATTGAATAATCCTCCCATTTCTTTGAGGATCACAATTTTTATGCCTTCTTCAGGAAATAATAATTTTATAGATTATATATTTTAATTTATTTATATTAATGTGAATAGCGAACTTGATTGTTTTGAATTTTTTGTATCTTAGATAATCTCCTGATAATCTTTTTTAATTACTCCATCGAACGAAGTTCGGAGGGATATAGGGAACGCCTACGTCCTTCATCCATCCGTCCTTCATCCATCCGTCCTTCATCCATCCGTCCAGGCAATAACTCAATTTTGTTCATATTTTGTATGCATTTATCCTTTTGGGATAGAAGTTCTGCTCGAAAGCCAATTTTCAAAATGGTCACTCATTTTTTAAAAATCGCGGCCAATTTAGTGCGATTTTTAGCGATTTTGTTCATATTTGGTATGTGAATACTATAAGCATGGCACACTGTCTAATGACACTTTTGGTAGAAGGTTTTGAAAAATGGCTGCCATTTTTGCTATATACTAAATGTTTGTAAAAATGCCAGCCATGGCTGTTCGATGGGATTTGCTACGCTTTGGCGTTGCTGTTGTCTAGTTGTGAATAATCCTTCATTAATTGTTGTACAGGATTAACTTAAAAAAGCATTTCTATTATACAAAATATTGTGTTAAACACATAATTCAAGGGTGCAAATGAAAATGAGGGCCTCATAGTCATATACATGAAATAATTTTGTTTAGCACCAATTAATTTTCATTTTAATTCCAGGGTGCTAATGTAAATGAGGTGGATTATGACAACAGAAGCGCACTTCATCTTGCAGCCACAGAAGGACAGCTGGAAGCAGTAGAATATTTATTAAAAGAAGGGGGTATGGTCCATATGCGTGATCGGTTTGGGAACACACCTTTAAGATGTGCAATAATGTATAACCACCCTGATATTATACGTATACTGAGGAAGGCTGGAGCACATATTACAATCAATCCTGTAAGGATTGGAGTGGAGCTTTGCAGGTATGTCATTTAGTTTGAGTGGAACTTTGCAACTATGTCATTTAGTTCGAGTGGAACTTTGCAACTATGTCATTTAGTTTGAGTGGAACTTTGCAGGTGTGTCATTTAGTTTGAGTCGAACTTTGCAGGTACGTCATTTGTTGGAGTCGAACTTTCCAGGCATTTGTTGGAGTCGAACTTTCCAGGTATGTCATTTGTTGGTGGAGCTTTGCAAGTATGTCATTTAGTTAGAGTGGAACTTTGCAGGTACTTCATTTGTTGGAGTGGAACTTTGCAGGTTTTGTCATTTGTTGGAGTGGATCTTTGCAGGTTTTGTCATTTGTTGGATTGGAACTTTGAAGATTTTGTCATTTGTTGGAGTGGAACTTTGCAGGTATGTCATTTAGTTTGAGTGGAACTTTGCAGGTACTTCATTTGTTGGAGTGGAACTTTGCAGGTTTTGTCATTTGTTGGAGTGGATCTTTGCAGGTTTTGTCATTTGTTGTAGTGGAACTTTGCAGGTATGTCATTTAGTTTGAGTGGAACTTTGCAGGTACTTCATTTGCTGGAGTGGAACTTTGCAGGGTTTGTCATTTGTTGGAGTGGAACTTTACAGGTTTTGTCATTTGTTGGAGTCGAACTTTACAGGTACGTCATTTGTTGGGAGTGGAACTTTACAGGTATGTCATTTGTTGGAGTGGAACTTTACAGGTATGTCATTTGTTGGGAATGGAATTTTGCAGGTATGTCATTTGTTGGGAGTGGAACTTTACAGGTATGTCATTTGTTGGAGTGGAACTTTACAGGTATGTCATTTGTTGGAGTTAAACTTTACAGGTATGTCATTTGTTGGAGTGGAACTTTACAGGTATGTCATTTGTTGGAGTGGAACTTTGCAGGTATGTCATTTGTTGGAGTGGAATTTTGCAGGTATGTCATTTGTTGGAGTGGAACTTTACAGGTATGTCATTTGTTGGAGTGGAACTTTACAGGTATGTCATTTGTTGGGAGTGGAACTTTACAGGTATGTCATTTGTTGGAGTGGAACTTTACAGGTATGTCATTTGTTGGAGTTAAACTTTGAAGGTTTTGTCATTTGTTGGAGTGGAACTTTGCAGGTATGTCATTTAGTTTGAGTAGAACTTTGCAGGTACTTCATTTGTTGGAGTGGAACTTTGCAGGTTTTGTCATTTGTTGGAGTGGATCTTTGCAGGTTTTGTCATTTGTTGAAGTGGAACTTTGCAGGTATGTCATTTAGTTTGAGTGGAACTTTGCAGGTACTTCATTTGCTGGAGTGGAACTTTGCAGGTTTTGTCATTTGTTGGATTTGAACTTTGAAGGTTTTGTCATTTGTTGGAGTGGAACTTTGCAGGTATGTCATTTAGTTTGAGTGGAACTTTGCAGGTACTTCATTTGTTGGAGTGGAACTTTGCAGGTTTTGTCATTTGTTTGAGTGGAACTTTGCAGGTATGTCATTTGTTTGAGTGGAACTTTGCAGGTATGTCATTTGTTGGAGTCGAACTTTACAGGTATGTCATTTGTTGGAGTCGAACTTTACAGGTATGTCATTTGTTGGAGTGGAACTTTACAGGTTTTGTCATTTGTTGGAGTGGAACTTTAAAGGTTTTGTCATTTGTTGGAGTGGAACTTTAAAGGTTTTGTCATTTGTTGGAGTGGAACTTTACGGAAATGTGTTTACCAACAAAATAATATTTTAAAGTAAAAGTCCAGTTTAGCATTTTGTGTCTATGTAAGGAGGGAATGTTAATGAGGACTCCAGCTAATGATAGTGTTTTGTGCACATAATCAATTTTATTCAAATTTTATTTACAGTCTTGCTGCAATAAATGATCTAGAAGGTCTGAGGTCATGGTACCTTGCTGGAGCGAATATCAACAGTGGGGACTATGATAAAAGAACAGCTCTACATGTGGTAAGTGTTCACAATTATGTATTCGTGTGATATCATAGTTTTTAGTGATATTTATCAGAAGGAGTTAAGCCAATGATTGAAATAATAAAATAAATTATTTAATTAAGGAGATAAAGTAACTTTGGTCAACATCAAGTTGATGAAAGAATGAAGATTAGTCAACATCAATGAAACCTGCCTAAATGTAGTCAACATCAATGAAATTTCCCTAAATGTAGTCAACATCAATGAAATCTGCTTAAATGTAGTCAACCTTAATGAAATCTGCCTTAATGTAGTCAACATCAATGAAATCTGCCTAATTGTAGTCAACATCAATGAAATCTGCCTAAATGTAGTCAACCTCAATGAAATCTGCTTAAATGTAGTCAACCTAAATGAAATCTGCTTAAATGTAGTCAACATCAATGAAATCTGCTTAAATGTAGTCAACATCAATGAAATCTGCTTAAATGTAGTCAACCTAAATGAAATCTGCTTAAATGTAGTCAACATCAATGAAATCTGCCTAAATGTAGTCAACCTCAATGAAATCTGCCTAAATGTAGTCAACCTCAATGAAATCTGGCTAAATGTAGTCAACATCAATGAAATCTGCCTAAATGTAGTCAACATCAATGAAATCTGCCTAAATGTAGTCAACATCAATGAAATCTGCCTAAATGTAGTCAAGGTCAATGAAATCTGCCTTAATGTAGTCAACCTCAATGAAATCTGCCTAAATGTAGTCAACATCAATGAAATCTGCCTAAATGTAGTCAACCTCAATGAAATCTGCCTAAATGTAGTCAGCATCAATGAAATCTGCCTAAATGTAGTCAGCCTCAATGAAGGGCATCTCAGTTTAACCAATTCAGTTCAATTCAACCTTGATGAAATTCTTAGATACAATGAAGTGAAACATGCTAAGTTCCTTTATATTTTTCTGAATTCCAGGCTGTCACCTTTGACTATTTGGGAATAGTTACATTTCTACTTGAATGTGGAGCAAGATCTGATATTAAAGACATGTTCGGCAACACTGCCTTGACAGAGGCCACTACAAGAGGTCTAGATAAGATTGTTGCAGTCTTGTCTCCAATGGAAGATAGATGATTGATCTAGGGATTGTTAGTTGGAAATCAAGGATGAAGTCATTGAAGTGTCTTCTGATGAACATCCTAAATGCTTAACTTTGAGGAATCTTTGCAGTATTGTGAAATGTTATGTGGAATTATATTAGTAAGATGGTTGTTTTAAAAAAAAGGTGACAACAGACCAAAGAATTTTACCAAACAAACATTCAGTTGGTAAGGAATACACTATTCATTTTAGTTTTCATTTAATTGGATGACTAGCTTGTGTGGTGGCATAGGATAAAACAAGAAATATTGTTTTGATTTGCATGCACATTTTAGTCCTGTAGGATGATAGGGAGCAATGATCTATAAAATATATATGACCCAAAGTGTGAACTTGCTGGACTATGTATAATGTAAATGGAAACTGGACCATTCAAAAATGGCTTTCATTATTGCCATATGTACTCATTATAGTGAAATACATTCAAGGGCTTATGATGTACTTTCAGATATACTTGCATGGAGCTTAAGCTTGTATTCGTGAATGCAACTAACGTCTGTCAGTTATGCCTTGGTCACATAGGCTTCGATTTTCACTACGGTGTCCGGTCGATTGAGTATTTTGTTCAAAATTGGATACAATATTGAACAAAACACTCAATCGGCTGGGCGCCGGCCCATGGATCGGAGCATATGTGTCCCAGGCATTACCTGATTAACCTGCTATTTTATGGGCAACTCATTTAAATATAAATAGTACCTGCCACTATTCCATTCATATTTAAATGAGTTGGTCATAAAATAGTAGGTTAATCCCATAGCCTGATAGCTGCTAGATGTTAGTTGCATTCGCGAATACAAGCTTAGATTATATTATTGTGTAATTTGCCGTCGTTTTATTTATTTTCTATGTACAGTGTAGAAGTGAACAAAGCTTTAATATTTATTACTTGAACACTCACTGGATATGCACAAACTGCTATCTATATAAAGGTTAGGTACGTATGTACTGGCAGCTGAGATATTACTATTTATAGTTTCTATAGAGAATTGGGTCAATTAGATGAGGTAAATGGTTGCAGAAATTTAAATTCTTTTCTACCTCGTGTATACTGTCAAATAGAAAAAAATGTTAGTTGAAAGGTATGATGGCTCAACAATAAGGTTTGAATAATTGAAGGACTTATAGTAGACCCATATTTTATACTTTGGAAGTTTGTGTCATGAAAGTAACCTTGCCTCAATTTTCTTAATACAGTTCATGAAATGTATTGTTTATTAGGAAAGCAAGACTGTTATGCACAAAAATGGCTTTATCTGCGGACAAAATCTGCAGGATCAAAGGGATCAAGATTCTTTAATCTGACTTTAACAGGAAAATTCCAGATTTGCTAGTGTTTACTTCCAGCAGAGACAATAGGGTACAGGACTCATATGTCCATTAAAGCTCAGTTAATGTTATCAAATGTTATTATAATGAACGTTTATGCTTCAATTGGAATTTACATGAGGGTAGTCAATTAAGACTCAAGAGTTCACTGCTGTTTAGATGAAAAGAGAAATACTCTAGGTATCCATGAGAGAAGAGCTCAAGCTTACATGTTGTTAATAAGTATAATATTAAAAACTGTATTGATTGTTAAACATGTATCAATTGTTACATGATAAATTCTTCTCATTTAGCTTCAATATTATTAGCAATACTATGATTTACAAATCTGTTTCAGGTTTTGCCCCCTTGTTGTATGAATAGAATACTCAATGGTTCGGTTCAGTCTCTCACTCTGATCGTAAAATACGCCAAAATTTAGAAAATTCAAAACGGTTGAAGTTCTACTATCTATCCCCAAATTACTCATATTACCCCTTATGCCCCTAACCTGCTTCATCATCAAACAGCACCAGATAGTACTGTTTAAGAAAACAGTGCTGTACAGCACAGTCAAACAGCACTGTATCATGAACAGCACTGTAGAGTACTCTGAGGTTTGCAGTGAGCAATTACATACACCTTTGGTTTTTTGATTGTTGGAACTTTTCATGCCAATTGCTAGGTGGGCATTTTTGCCAAGCTTAAATTGGTGCATAAAGTTTTTTAGTGTTTTTCATCAAAGATCTGTTGATGCAAATTGCTGGCATTTATGTTTCACAGTTTTTATGTTTATGTTTTGAGACTGAACCACATGAATAAGAAATCTAATATCACTTAATTTTAGTTAATCTGTTTTAGGAATGTTTGAAGAACAATTAACATTTCAATGTATACGATCTAGCCCACTGCATTTAATGCAATCTGTTGTTATTATATACAGGATCCACATTGTTGCCATTGTTACTATAAATAAAAAATATATATACATGGTTAATGTATTATGTATTAGCTTGATAGAGCAGAAATATATTGTATATGTACAATTATATAATTGTACATTACTGAAAACTTTATTTTACTGTTCATATATTTCAAAGATTTTGGTTTAAAGATCTCACGTTTGTGCTTACTCTGGATAGTTGTTATCACAACAAAGGTTGGAAAATAATGAAGTTCTCTTTTAAGGGATTCAAACTAGGGCTTTTTGTATGCCCTATAGGAGGTTCTGTGTGTTTTAATTAAAACAACATGCATGCAACCCCCATGCTTGAATCCAAACATTTGTCAAATATAACTTTTGTTTTCAACATTTACACAAATAGTTAAAAGTAAAGAAATTTATTATTATAAAATCTAATTCCTTTGTAAATTCTGTTTATTTTTAAACCTTCACAATACATGTAGTAGCTGTACAAAAATGATTAAACAATATAACAAAGCTATATACTGTATATATTATTAACCACCATAAATGTAAATATTATTGACCAGAATATATTAAATATTTAAACATAAAACACTATCTCCATTGAACATCAGAAAAATTGAATATCAGAAATTGTGTTTTAAGAATGCAATTTCATGAGCCAATTACTCTTGAATAACTTTCTACAGTACTTCAGTTAATGCAACAACAATTACCTGCATGTGGTATTATATTACACACTCAAAATGCTTTAACATTGGCTGTATCCTACTACATGCACAAATAATAAATAAACAAAACTATTAATGTTAAAGACACAAGTACCACCATCTGTACAAGTCAATATACCACAGTAACTTGTCTTTAAGCTTAATTCATACAAATTTTATGCTCTAAGTGGAAAATATGTAAAAATTGGAAAAGAAATTCATACTGTGATTCTGAATACTTAAAAATGAATACTATTTTTACTGATGTAGAACAGAGTACAGGGTGGCCCCCAAAAGGTGTACCAAGACAATTATAAAATATCTCTGAGTGATGAAGGAATATTCTTGAAATCTAGATAATCTGACAGAATATAAAATGTTCAGCTTTTTTGATGAAGGAAAAGAGTCATTCATGTTTCATTTGGGGCTAGTTTTTTGGGACACTCTGTATATTAGCATTTCATTCAAATTTCATAAAATATTGATAACTTAAAAAATTGAACTTCACCCTATTTTGATATTTTACTAAATACTCAAGAAAAACAACACCTTTGACTTTCTGGCAGTTACAACTTACAAGTGTATTAACCCATAGCTTGTAGGTAAGTCCATATATAAGGACTGAAGGATAACTGAGGGCATTAAGCACACCAAGGGCATTTACTTGAAGGTAGTGACTAGTCTACATGCTCTTATATATCATATCTTATATATAAATATCTTCTATAAATTGAAAATAAATATGAAACATCATCTCAGAATAAAAAATGTAAAATAAACTAAAATTCTTGTTTTTTTAAATGGAAGAAAGATATTGACTCGTAATTATATTGACTTAGTTATTTCAGAGCACCATTTCTATAAAATATTATTTGGCATTAAATAGATACAACAATATATTTATAATAGTTTCAATTTATGATTCGATCTCAAGGGAGCGGCAGAGGATAAACAGTCTGAACATAATCACATGCTATGTTCTGATGAACCATGACCCAATACTAGTATAATACATATACCATAACCATATACAGATTTAAAATCTACTAATACAAATCATATAATATCTAGCTAATGAAACAATTTTACAATATATTGTAGCCTCAGCCAACAATAAAATCTTGGCTTACAAATGTTTACAATAAATTTACAATGTACTGGTACGTGTAAACAATATGTGCAGTGGACCCGAGTTTTGACATATCTGTCAAACATTTTTACAGAAATAGATTTTGAATCAAAGGCACTTAAACATTAACTTGAGTTGGTTTATATCTTTAGTATCACATTGGTGACTAGAAAATAGACAATTTAATATGAGGAAGTATTAGAGTCTAATTTTAGACAGTCTAGCTACAAGGCCTTGCACATCTCTGTGTGAGGTGTTAAGTCAAGTAGAGGGGTTGTGGTGGTCCGAGGTGCTTGTAGCTAGACTAAATTTTTGAATGTTTAGTCTGAGGTACAGTTCTGGTATAAATAAGTATTGCATTAAATCTCTGTTCCCCACTACATCCCAAACTTTGTCATGAAGAGAATGGAAAATGGGGGGGGGGATTGGGATCTGACCGAGTAATTCCTATATGTGCTAGTCTGGTAATGCAGGTGCTATCTCAAAAAATACCAACTTGGGCAAGGCTATTTGAGCTACAGTTCTGGTATAAATAAGCATTGCATTAAATCTCTGTTCCCCAATAGTACATTCCAAACTTTGTCATGAAGAGAATGGAAAATGTGGGGGGGGGTTGAGGTCTGACCAAGTAATTACTATATGTGCTAGTCTGGTGCTGCAGGTATTATTCTGGTGCTCAGCTGCTGTAGGTGCTATCTCATTTCCACTTCCCTGTAGTGTTGATATCTGACTTTACGTTGTCTTTTCCAACAAGAGCACAGTATACAGAGCAAAATACCCACACCTAGACTTGTACCCACACTCGCACCTATCACTCCCAGGAGTTTTTCTGAAATAAAATAAGTGGATAAGCTCATATAATTCAAAACTCAGTGTAAAAGAGAGAAATGTTCCATGTAATAAATGTCTTGCTTTCCATTGGTTTATAAAAAGAAATACTAATTTAGGGCCAGAAAGGACCACTATTATACTTCTAAAGTGGAATATTAATAATTTCCGTCACGCCAGTAGGTGACATTTGAAAATATAACAATGTAGAGAACATTGTTGTATGCGTTTGTTGTATTTGGTGTCACAAATCATTATTTATATACTATAATGTTGCCATGTTGTGAGTATATAGTCTCGTATACAACCACCTAAATGATGTGCATTAAAGAGTTGTTATTGCTTCATTGTAGTGCACATGTGTTGGTGTGCATAACTATACATTGTACTTGCATTAAGTTTACCCTGACCTGGTGCACCATCTACATTTATTCTCTTAACTAAGGTGCTTATTTATTGAGATCTTATTTCTTTTAGATATATAAATTGATTTGTTGTTTATAGCGCTTTAAAGCGCCGTGCAAAGTCGCTTTGTACGCCACTTTAAAGTGCCATCAAAGCGCCATTGTTGTGAACTTAGCTTTACAATGAAACCCTTTCAAAGGTGCACATCAGCTAGAATGCAAGTGAAAGAGAAGATTCTTGTTAATGATAGTTATCACATGCAAATAATGTGCATGTGGAAGCATGAAAGATAGTAATTATAAGGTAGCATCAGATTTAGAGGCAACATCTGACAAAAATGTGTCTATTTATCTTAAAATGTTACAGCTTAGAAATGCAGATTGTAACACCTCACTTAAAACAAAATACTAGTAGGTGGATTTTGACCACATTTATCATTTTGGCATTCAAGTTATAGAGCATGAATAACCTCATTCTCCAGAGGTTTTAGTTAATTCTTTAATAATTTCATTTTTATTTACGTTGGATCTCATTTCAGTTATTACATTTTGAAAACACATTCAATCTGCATCATCATCTTGCAGTACAGTACAGTACTGTTTTGAACAGCGCTAGACAATACTGTTTTTGAGATTGGCTGTGTAATGAATTTGAATTATTGGAAAATCATCATGTTACACACAATTTTGTAAGCCTCTCATCTCTGATTCTGGCTTTCCCCATACAGTAAAACCTGTCCAATGGAATACCTCTCTGTAGGGAAAACCTATGAACAAGGAATGATTTTCAAAAGAACCGAATATTTTTCCATTGACTTACATGTTAACGGACCCTCTCTGTAGGGAAAACCTGTGAACAGGGAACAAGGAACACTATTTTGGGGCAAATTATGAAAATTCACCTGTAAACAAGGAATATGGAATATTGGTGACACTGTATATTCCATTATTTTTCAGAGGTGTGAAAGTCTTAAGCCAATATCTGAATATAGAAAGCTTGGATTAATATGATTGAGATTAAGATAAGCCAATTGTTTACATGATGTAGCATCCCACCCACTGTTAATTACCCTGATTTATTTTAACTAGTACTAATCTGTTTGTTACTCATTATCATGACATTAGTTCTTCCCTTCAAAAACCTAATTGCACCAAATCAGTTGTGATAATCTAGAGACTGACACAATTGTTTTATGGAGATAACAGATAGTAAGTACATGGTCATGTTGAGCCAAATCTCTTTAGATCTTTTACTGGTCCTACTTCTAGATTATCAATGATATAAAATGGGGTTGATGAAACTTGAAATTCAGTTCTTAGCACTATATCTCTACACATCATATCAATAATTACATCAACTAGACATCATCAGACGCTAGCAGCAGCTAAAATCAACATGGGGAGAACGTAACCAAGGTATGGAGCCGGCATTTGTACAATTAATCAATATATATACAAATATGCTTATTCGGCAAGTTTGAGTTTGCTGAAAGTGCGGCCCCTCTCTATAGGGAAAACCTCTGAACAAGGAAACTTTCCTTCAGTCCCAAGAGCATTCCCTGTTCGCAGGTTTTACTGTACTTTAAACATGCAGGCTCTTACCACATATTGACCCATTCTTTGGACCATTTGTTTTTTAGGAGGGGCTTCATGTTCTAAATTTAAGAAATGCAAGAAACAAAACTCATGAATTTTTCAAACAAATTTACAAATGAGTAAAACTGAATTTAACTGGCCTACCTGTGTCAGGTGTATCTAGTAGAGGATAAAGGTTCACGTGAATAACCTCAACTTTCTGGCAAATCCTTTTCAACTAAAAAACTTGTGAACTGTCCTTAGTGAGGATGTTTCTAGGGGAAAGAACTAACTAGCTAATGAGCAAAGGAAGCCATAGATAAAAAAAGAAACCAAGCTTTCCTGAATTCAATGCCCCCTATGGAAAATGGGAATCGCTTTATGCCCTATCACTAAGCTAAAAAAAAGAGTATCTGGATTAGTTGCGCTGTAGAAGTGACACCTCAATTGTAAAAATCAAAATAGGCCAAAACCCTCATCAATTGAACAAAACGTGAATTCCTATGAAATATATATTTCAATTTGTAATTAGAGGCTATTTAAAATATTGGTGAAATTGGGTGCTACTCACTTGATGGAAGATTCCATGAATGAGGGGGGTTGCATAGTGCTTGGAATGTCTCATAATTTATTGTCACATTAGACGTCAGCTCTACAAATCTTTCAAAGGGACAGCTATGACCACAGTCTAAAATAAAATATTCAAAAATAGAGAATTTGCAAAAAACCTTAAAGGAAATGCATCCATCTTGCCATGGCAACCATTTCTATAGTAAATGCATCTATGTTGCCATGGTGACCACTTGTGACATTACATGGAATTACTTATATCTATATTGAACAAATATTTCACTGTATTGAGGTGAATACCTGTACATCTTTCACAAGTGATATTCCACGAAGCCCGAAGGGTAACTGGAATATCAGCCTTGTGAAAGTGCTACAGGTATTCACCGAAAATAGAGTGAAATATTTGTTTTATTATATCACTGTCTAGCTAAACATCCCTAATATTATTAAGTCATTAAGTCTTCAGATATTTTTACGAATCTACTCGGTTCGTCTGTCATTTTGACCTACACGGAACTAAATTATTTACACTGAACGAAAACAAATTGTTTGAAAATTCCCGGGAGCGTGGGATATCGCTAGATATCTCACGGTTGTCTTATCTGATTAGCATTGCTATTGAATATCGCCAGATATCCCACGACATGTGACCCGGTTTTGACCAATCATACTGTCGCTAGCTAGATAGTGATATAATAAATACAGAATATCACATCATTTTGAGTGATATCATTTTTATCGCCGAGTTGATATCAAATATCAACACGAGTGAGCGAAGCGAATGAGTGTTGATATTTGATATCTACGAGGCGATAAAATGATATCACGAGAAAATTATGTGATATTGGGTTTATCCCATGATTACAATCACATTTCAATAATAAAATATAATAAAGTATAACAAGAGAATAAATTATCTGACCTAGTTTCCAACAATATTGTGGCGCGAAATGCAAATGTGATATCACACGGATATGCGTGAGATAAACGATATCACACGCATATGAGTTTGATAAACGATTTTCTGGAAAATATCACACGGATTTCAATAATATCAGAAATATCAATAGCTATTATTGTACAGATAACACATTAATCGTGGGATAATGAATAATATCATACTAATCTAAAATAGGTGAAATATCAGGATAGCCTTTTCATTAACTGTTGACCTTTAATTGAGTGGATAATTTTGTTTGTGTTGATTCAATAAATTTTCAAATCAGAAGAAAGGCATTAATGTGACAAAATGTCACCACCTGGCTGCAATTACAAAAGTGTTACAATTGTTACAGATACCAACTCCCAATGTTGCTAAAAATGGTAGCTATAACAAAATGACACCACTTCTTGGTAGTGACATAAAACACAACAACCATTTATTTACCTGGAATGGTTAAGTTGAATGGTGCATCTGATGTGTCTTCAAAGTTAGTTGTTTTATTTCTTAGATATAATTCTACGTAGTATTTGTCTGCTCTCTTATGAAGCTCTACTATAACTGTCTGGCAATATACCGGCCAGTTGGTGTTGTCAATTTTCAGTGCAGCCAACAGTGCAAGGTTCTGTGTATCGTGCTACAAGAGTGAAATTTCATGTTTATGAATATACCTTAGAAATGCATGGTCAATAATACTTCTACTTAGGCCCTGTTAATGTATATACAGTAAAACCTGTCTAACCTTTTCTAACTCTAGAAGTGTTCCATTTGGGAGGTGTTCCACTTATAGAGGTTTATTCAAGATTAAATCAGATGGTCTTGGGACTCTCAGAAGTGTTCCACTTACAGAAATATTCCACTTCTAGAGGTGTTCCACTTTACAGATTTCACTGTACAATGTTAAAAAACATGTTTTCACAGTATCAAAACTAATTTGTTATTCTTAGATAATGTAATAATAATATAATAGTAAATGAAAATGCAACCAAACAATGTAAATCAATTGGTGTCAAAGATTCTCAACTTCAAATAAGATAAATAAATGAAAAAGGGAAGGAAAGAATTGATGTTAACCTTCAAATAATTAAAATGATTAGCAAATGGTTCACTTACAGCTGAATACATGTTAAGTTTTATTCCTTGTTTGCCGATCCTATCAAACTTATGTGTGTTGAAATTGCAGGAAGAGTCATTGTAAATCTTACATTTCATGTTGGAGACCATCTCATTCAATAGCACACCTAAAAGTATGGATAAGATGTCATTGTAAATCTTACATTTCATGTTGGAGACCATCTCATTCAATAGCACACCTGAAAGTATGGATAAGATGCATAAAGATATTTATCATTCTCATACACATCGCATCTAAAAACATGTCTGTGTTTAGTTGCTCTAATTTTCCGTGCCAATCCTCCTGCTGATCGAGCAGGCGGGGCTTCCCATACAATCTTAAAATTCCCGGGAAGTTTACTCTTGTAAAAAAGTTGACATACTTTTAAAAAATAAATTTCTACCGATTAAATTCACCATATTTTATAATGTTTATATGTTTATTTCTAATGTTATAAGAATTCATTCGTACGAAAAATATAAAATAATTTGTAGGAACTGTTAGAAATAAGTGAATACCTTTTGCGATCATTTGTTTATTGTTTATTAACCCAGTGCTATGCAGTTTATTGAGAATTCCTTTTGAGATGACATTTAAATCATGTTTTTATCATTATGTGTTTGCAATGAATTTGATTAGTCCGTCGATTCCACCAATTCTAAATCGAGAATGCCCAATACAAAAATCCATGGAGATCAACGATGCAAGAAGAGAGGGGCATGGTATTCCATGATGGATATTTATACAGTTAGGTCCAATTGCCAGATCAGATGTAATGCCAGTTAGGCAAGAACTTCTGATCCAGAGAAATTCCTAATCAGACATGAGGCTTTAGAAGCGAAAACAAATGACCAAATATGGTATTAACCTCTTGACCACCTGGAGTGATGAGATTTCTCCATCACAAAATGTTTCTCTAAAATTGCTCTTATTTGAATGATTTTCAACCCAGTTACACAAAAGTTGTATTAAAATGTGTAGAAATGATCTGTGTCATCTAATTTTTCTAAGTTGAGCATCTAAAGTTGTATAGGTATGAAGTAAAATGTCAAAAAGTGTCAAAAATGAAAAATTCTTTGTTCAACGAATTTTAGAGCCTCTGTTTCAAGAGGTTAAATGGTAAGATTTTGATGATAAGTTCTCTGGAACTGGCTGTTCAACCTCTTATAAGGTAAAATGGATGGCCTGGAAATCCCCACTTCTCCCCTTAGAATGCTGCACAAACCTATGACCATCCTTGCATTATCAATGTTAGAGTGTGCCAGCCCAGCCTTGTATTCTCTGTCTTCTTTCAAAAGATCCAGAACTGTTATATTCACCCATTCTGGCTTCTTGAAGTTCAACTCTGGGTGTTGGCCCTGGAAACACACAGGAACATAAGAAACACAATGCAATGTGAAAATTAGAAACACATGTGGGAATATTAGAAACATGTATAGGAACACACATTGGGACATAAAGACACATACAGAAATGTGCATAGAAATATTGGAAACCCATGAAAGACCATTGGAAACACATGTGGAAATATAAGAATGATCTTATAAACTGAAACATTAGTTGATGTTTTATTTGAATATTCCTAAATTTTGAACCATGTAAGAAAAATCACCTGACAGAAAAGTTGGTCGCTTATCTGCCAAGTAGGTAGACCAGGTTCTAGTGTGACACCACTTTTGTTGGCAATGAAGTCATAAAGCTCCTGAAACAAAACATTACACATTGTGAGGTCCCATGTATGTTATTCTTGATTCTCTGGTTTCAGATCACAGAAAATTTTATGACATTAAGGAATTACAATAAAACCTGTGTATATTGAACTTTTTTTTTGCTGAGAAAAATGTTCAGTGTTGGTATGTGTTCACTACAGAGACGGTAATTTATACAGAAGTCAGTAGATTATGTCAAAGGAAGACAGAGGTTGGGTGGGTAGGTTCACTAGAGGGAGGACTGGCTGTTCACTACGACAGGTTTTACTGTACATTGTATTTTTGTCTTAAAGGGAGAATCAAAGGAAATATTTGAAAAATTGTTACATTTATAGAATTGTGAACTTGTCGAACAGGTTATTTCCAACGATAGTATTTATGCATCATGCAAAATGTATTTAGGTATTGCTACAACTCGTATATCACCTTATTTTCCTGATATCGCTGTAACCATACTGGGTCTGCTTTGTTCTCATCTGTTGGTTTTTTACAATAGTCAAGGACATCCTCAAGAGGCTAAAAACAAAGATGGAGAATGGGAGAAATGGGACATTGATTCACATACTGTCAAATGTTGCAAAATCATAATGTAAATCTGAACTAAAAATGAGGAATAAAAAGTCAATTAATGCAAAAACAATGTTATCATATGTGCATTGTTCAATAATGCCTCAGCTCGTACTAATAATGAAAACATATTAATATGAAAAGCTATATTTTGTACATATCTATATATGGGTACTAAATCCCTACGTTACAATCAATAATTCAAAGTAATATACATGTATTTTATATGGTATTTTATGTAATATTCACTACAATGCACTATTATATTTACACTACCAGTATAAATATGTCTAATAACTACACTTCTGGAGAAATATACCATTATATGATCTGCTGTTACTATATGAACTGGGATAGGTTGCCAGCCATAGTCAAGGTCCCATTTATCTTGAACAGCTGGAGGGAAGAGTCCCGCAAGGTTGGTGGTCGCACTCATGATTGTACGGTCATAGTCAGTACTCTGGACATACACCTACAGACCCCCAGAGAAACATTTCAATTAAGCTTGTAAAAGAAAGGGCAAGGAGAGTAAAAGTTTCAAAAAGCAATCAATGATTCTCTAACAATCCTTACTACACATCCTGGTTCAAAATTCCAATGATTTTCATGAGATAACGTTAGAATTGTTGAACTTTTAAGAAAAGAAGCATGAGATGGAATGATGAGAGACAAATATTGTACCTCATTTCTTTTGTATCTTGGATTCAGAAATCCAGCTTCTGTAACATATCTCTGTCTCAGGTATCTGCCAAGGTTGAACTGCTGCTTCATCCCTTTCTGCAGGGTTCAAATATATATGTATGTTATAACAAGATTGCACATTTAGAGATACATGATGATCAGATGAAATAATTCAGCGAAAAGTACACACTGTATTTGATATTGAGACATTTATACCAGATATAGTATTTTCTGTATTCATAGCAATTTAGTGCAAAATGAACAGACAAAGTAACAATTTGAAAGCAATGAATTTAATTTTTTTAATTCATTTTATTAATGCAGGGATCGAAAATTGTTTGTTATAAAGATACAATATCTGCTGCAAAGTGCCAAAGTATCTCCAATTTCTTTGAATTTCGCTTTGAATGACATTTATATGTATACATCTCAGGGGAGTAGCCAAGAAATTCAAGGGGTGTGACTTTTTGGGTAAGCATCATTGCAAGCGAAGTGAGCCCGAAAAGGGGGAGGGGGTATTGGGCTGGAATCTTTTAAAAATATATCTGGTGCATTCTAAGCATTTCAAACTACTTGTTAATGTTTTTTCAACAAATTTTATAAAATTGCTTTTTATTTTTTTGGAGGGGTGGGGGGGGGGAGTGATCGCGCCCATCGCATCCACCCTGGCTAGGCCCGTGCATCTACTGCAGTTTTGAGTCAAGAAACATATAAAATGTGCATTTTATTAAGGTTTAATCTTGTCTTAAGCTCTAGTAAACGCCCTCATAACAACACGCTCAGAGATGAAAGAGTAGCACAAAGTAAACCCATTACCTTGCTTAGTTGACCATATCCCTGTGGCCAGTCAGCCTCAGTATATGGGTCTGTAGGGTAGCTGCTCGTTTGACTTCTGTCACCATGGCGAAATAACTAAAGTAAACAAGAACAAGATTTATGAAATATTTTACCAAATGAAGTATTCATAACAGATATAGTATATACTGTACACATATAATGGATTGGTGGTTGATGGGGGGACGGTCATTATGAAACACCCTGTATATAATAAGCAAATGTTCCAATCTATGGAGGGCAATACCTGTTCATCTTTCAATGATTTTTGCAGTCTGTATTGCTTGGAGCCTATAGAGTGAGGGAAATACATGCTGCAAAAATCATTGAAAGTGAAACAGGTATTGCGTGAACATTGAATGAAATATTTGTTTTATTATATCATTGCTAGACATTCTCTACAATCACTTTGCATTTCAAAGAAATATAGAATATTGCCGTGAACATTTATTTTATCAATAAATACATCATAAACCCATCAGGTAACATGATTACGGACAAGAATCATTGTATAGTACACTTTTATTTCTGTCCAGTGCAGTTGTCAGAATTCCCGAGCTGGCAATACTATCGCTGAGATAAACGTCTTTTATAATCCAATAATTGAGGGAGGTGTGAAATACGCTACAGTATTTTTGATTTTACAGTGTTCATGTACAATACAAAACACTAAGCATAAACTAGACTGAACTAGAACTGCCTTTGAGTTTCCCATTCAATATGATCATGAGTTATCCCGTTCCCGGACTATAGTCCATAGTCCGGGAACGGGATAAATCATGAGTATAGCATTTACACCTCCCCAATTATATTTACATCTATCTTGATCCTTAGTAATGTCCTTATTCTTGGACGTCACACTACGAGGGGGGATTCATAAGTAGTGGGACTTTTCTGAGGCAGCAAGTCCCTGTCTACATATCTCAACCAAATTTGGCACATGAATGGACTAGGACATAAGGCATTGTTTGGTGAAATTGCAATGTAATTCGTTTTGTTCCCTAGCAACAACGGTTGCTATGGTAACCAAAAGTAGGGGTTAACGGAGCAGTTAAAAAATGAGGGGCTTGATCAACATAAATATGCTCATAAATATCTCAAAATGACAGTTATTTTCAAATATTTGGTTTCATATTGTCTCAAGCATTGTAGTCATGACAACTGTAACATATATTACATCATCATGCTATTGTGATGTCACACAAAACAGTGACACCAGGACACTGCCATTTTCAGGCCTTCTTGGATGGAGCAAAATTTGATTAAAATAGCATAAAAAAGCAAGAATCACGTATAAACATCCGTGATGTGACTAAATTTAATGCTTTGAAGAAGTTTTCAGTATTAGAGACCTATAGAGGTTTATTGAAAGTCTATGGGAAACAAGAAGTAAAAAAATCAACAGTATATATAATAGGTGGTATTCTGTATATGTGTTCTGAATATGCTGTGAGAGCCGAGATAACCAATCTTGGAAAATATGGTTTTGAGGGTGCATACCTAAAATGGTTGAGGAGATGCCAAAAATGCATTGATTGTCATCGTGAATACTTTGAGAAAGAGTGAGATTGCACCAGAAGGATAAGAAATCAATAGTCTTGCATAGAATTGATGTGCCCCACAAAAGGACTCGCTAGAAGTCACGGATTAGATCACATCCTGAATATCAGTTGAGAATTGTAATTTAACTGGCAATTAGTGACATACAATGTGCTCCGTGGACCCTGTTGTGACGTCATGGTTGGAACTCTCAGTTTACTGAAGTTGGGTGTAACTTTTTGAAATTTTCACACAATGATTACTACATGTTTGTGGTTCTGTGTTCCAAGTTTGAATACAATCTGGTTGATATAAGTGAAGTTATAGCATTTGTCCCACTACTTATGAATCCCCCCTCGTATATACCTCTTTCAGTGTTCATTTAATCTAATCACTTTGTAAAATTAAAACGTATGTTCTATCACTCAGGTTCTATAGAATGAAATATAAAAGTCAGTGCATCGTATATGAATTGAACACTCATCAGCATCTGCTGCCATTCACTGCTCAGTGAAACAGTTTTCTCTCATTTAGCTCAGTATTATGTTTCATTGGTTCTCTTTTAAAATCAATGCAATATACATACCACTTGGACAAGTTGTAAGGTTGTTTCACCAGACGCAACAGGTAAAATAAAAGTAAAATAAATAGAAAACAAAAATATTTTCATCCACATTGCAACCGGTTACCGGAAGTAAAATTGTTTCCTACTCGTTAGGAGGCGCAGTAAAACGGAAGTAAATGAAAAACAAAAACAAAAAATGGCAAGCGCAGTTCAAGTAAGTTTTCCCATAATTTGATACAATTTAAAGGGTCAAAGCTATATTAAGAATGAATGAGTATAGTGTGAAGTATTGGTTTGCTTACTTTGCTGGTGACATTTTTCTCTCTGTAGTTCTTGCTTGTTGTGCTAATTTTCCGATATTTTGAAAATAAATCTGCCATTTTTTGAATATCTAACACTAGAGTCTACTGGATTTTAAATATTAGGTCATCCGACCATTTCCAGCAAAACGTCAAAAGCTCCATACTTGGTGCTTGTGATCTCAGTTATCAGTAATAGACTGCGGACTATTCTGTAGAAGTGCTCTAGAAATGGATCTCGCTTTTCATGGAAGGTCACACATTCCAACATATTTCAAACAATTTGTATGATTATAATAGACACTTTCTGGGTAGTTGGACTTTATGTAGGGGTGGCAGAAGGCCCTCAGGCCAATTTATACCCCTACCCCAACAAAACCTTGGGGGTACTTTAATACCACCCAATAAAAATAATACTAATGCATATCAGATATTCATCGTTTTATAGTGGGTAGGGCATGCCATGGTTAGTCAGTGCCAGAAATTTCCAATCTCTGACTTATATGGTTACCATGGAAACAGTATTTATATCTCACAATCTTCTCAATTTGACCCCGTCCCAAATGTGTCCTTAAGTTCTCAAAGTGAAATATTTGCAAATCTGTTTGGATTTTGTGGCTGCAACTTTGTCAAAAGTTGAATTAATATGTATGTATTCACACTAAAGCACTAAAAACTTGATATAATGATCTCATAAATTAATAATATTTATCAAATGTAGTCACACACAACTGCTTTTAGGGAAAAGTGGGCGTGGCACTTTTTGGTACTTGTGTAATTGTTGCAGCATTAAATGAAAAATACTTATTACACTAACAACAATTGACATTTAATTAGCATCTACTAACATTGTGTAACATTGTAGTATGTTCATTATCATTATTAGATACTTTAAATATTTTATATAAGTGTTATCATGACCCTTCCCTATCATAGGTCATTAATGGTCAAATTAACTTTTAAGTCCTAGAGGTCCTTAGTCTTTTTAGCTTGTCAAAGTCGTATTCATTGACTTGAAGCTAGAATATAAATAGTTTCATTGATCAAGAAGAGCTATGAGTTAAAATTGATTAATACATTTGTCAGGGTTAGAGCCATTTTATGCAATTGAAAAGTAATGGACCGACACTGATCAGTACCAAGTGAAGGTAACGGCTGTAACCTTCGCATCTAAGATGGCGGACAGTAATTGTCGATTTTGATATTTTTAATTTTCATTGAATTAAACTACTTTAGAGTTGATGTTATGCTTTGACATTTGCACCAAATCAGGCTTAAATGACATTGGAACCATAGATGTAGTAAACATGAATAAACGATATGTGAAATGTTATGCCCTGCTTTAATACATAACTAAGATTTTCTCGGATAAATGGTGTCTTACAATTGACTTACTGATTCTATTATCAACATCAGGTAATGCATGATCTATCCAATGGATTAACGAAAATACTTGATTCCAATATGGCAAAATAAATTATTCCATGTATGAATTGCATAGTGCATCATTTTGCAGATATTACATAATGCATTCATTGACTCATGGTCAACAAGGTACGGGTTAAACTCCTTTTAGTATTTCACAAAATAATGAAATATAAACAATTTAAACATTTCTGAAATGCTGTACCTTTAGTGATTCCTTCGACCTGGAAAGTGGTTTGTTATGTTAAAACTTAAAATAATATCTAAACAAATCTGTTTAGTGTATAAAAACAATAAAAGTTAATATGTTTAATATCAAATATTATTAGACATATGAATATATAACCTAAAATAAGAAAACTTGTTCTCGTATTCCATTTTAAAATTGGTTGAATGATTTTGGCACAGTAGAAATGATGGTCATGATTAAATATTATATGTAATATGCCCTGATGCTGTAACATCAATGGTCCTTTATAATCAGGTATGACTGAAATACTGGACAAGATCTTATAAGGTTACAGTTTCCATATAACGTATGTTCCATATTACTACCCCAAATCTCCATTGTGTAAGTTTATGAGTCATTATCCCTCATAGTTTATTATGGCAAATGCCTATCCTTGTCTAGAATATGTCATTTTATCAATTTTATAAACAAGTATACAATTACACGCCCCCCCCCCCCTCCCACACCAAAACTCCATTTTCTTTATCAAATCTTTCTACCTCTATCTGTTATGATTCTCTGTCAGGCTTCCCCAATTTTCCATACTGTCAAGTAAACATCTAAATAGGATAGTTCTAGCTATTGCTGTTGTTTTGAAATGTTGACTTTTCTTGGTGAAATATTGTTTCAATTCTGACAGAAGTTTTTAGCCAATATCATTCAATTTAACAATATCCAAACGCAGGGTTTCAGAAAGTATGCATTTTGTTTGTGCCTGTATTTTCATCATGTGTACTTATTAAGACAGCTATATTTAAACGTAAATACATTAAAACATGATACATATAATCTTTTGACAATTTCTTCAGTAAAGTGGCCATTTTGAGAAATGATATATAGCTTGTACCTTTGTTTGATGCTCAACAAGATGTTCGACTGGATTTGCCTTTGTCTAATTCATATATATACCAAATACGAGAATCAGAATCTTATTCTACAAAACGGGTGTTCATGGAAGTAGCACTAATTATTGCATAATTGCTATAAATGGTGTGATTTGATTGGCTAATTCAGAACCATGTGACTAAAAATACCAGCGTATTTCACAGCTCACTGAATTATTTCCATATTTAAAAGACGTATTGTCCAGCGTATTGCCCGCCTGGGGATTCTGACAACTGCACTTTCAATGATTTTTGCAACATGTATTACCATCGCCCTATGGGCTGCGGGCAATACATATTGCAAAAATCATTGAAAGATGAACAGGTATTGCCCTCCATAGAATGAAATATTTGCTTAACATTTCGTACTGTTTCGGGCTTAATATCAATTTTGTTATAAACTGAACAAAGCGGCACCTTTAACATGCAGCTAATTCTCCCATCTAACCAAGAGAGCCTCTTTTAATATATCGAAATTTAAAAATTGCCTGTGATTCAATTTGTTCAATCAAATCTAAAATGGTAATACCTTTTTACTGCTTCAAACTTCCTTATATTTTATACCATTGGGGTAGGATGTTTGTCTCTTTCAATTAATGCTTTCACCAGAAACATGGATATCACTAATTTTGATTCATATTTAAAATGGTGTGCATGAATAGACCTGTGTATTTTATACCAAATAGAGACACTTCCCTGGAGAGTTCTAAATCTCTATATGTTAACAGCCTAGTTCCCACATCCCTTGTTGACTTTGCTTCCATATTTCCTGTGAAGCCGTGGAACAGTTCTCTTTTTCTTCACAATTTTCCATTTTAATGTAACTCAATGAATAAGGCCAATTCATATCACTGGCTTCCCTAGGTCATTTGAATTCCTTGCAATATTTAAATCAGCAATAAAGAATAATGGGTTAAATTATCAAATAATGAAAAAGTTGCAAATTATGAGATTTGTTATATAGCTTCGAAATCTTGCTGAAGCGTAGTTTAATTATAGGTTAACAGGCTAAATTCTCATTGAGATAATTTTAAAGAATCTTAAACATTGACTTATTGTTTCAGTGGTCCTATTAAAGTTCATGTGTACACAATCTGAACAACATCCAGTTTCAAACACTTCTGATTATCATCAAGTTTCAAACACAATCTGAACATCATCAAATTCATTGCAAATGCAGTTTCACTTTAATCCAACAGAACGAATATGGTAAATCAATAGACTAAGTGACACATGTCAAGTCAATGGTAAATACTTGTATCTAGCCCAACTAGCACAAGTGCTGCCATCTACCGACTAGTATCAATCCATCTATCCATATACATAGCACCTAATGAGGTCACGACTTCAAGTAAAGCTTTTTCCCTTGTCTATGGTAAAAAATAAGTTAAACAGAAAAGTTAGTTTGACACCATTGGTGATGCCCACCTTGTATGGTATAGGGATAAAAGAAAAGTTCATGATAACACTTACATAAAATAATTTAAGTATCTAATAATGATAATGAACATATTACAATGTTACACAATGTTAGTAAATGATAATTAAATGTCAATTATTGTTAGTGTAATATGTATTTTTTGCTTAATGCTGCAACAATTACACAAGTTCCAAAAAGTGCCACGCCCACTTTTCCCTAAAAGTAGTTGTGTGTGACTATATTTGATAGATATTATTGATTTATTGGAGCATTATATCAACTTTTTAGTGCTTTAGTGTGAATATATACATATTTATACAACTTTTGACAAAGTTGCAGCCACAAAATCCAAACAAACTTGCAAATATTTCACTTTGAGGGCTAAGGGACATATTTTGGAGGAGGTCAAATTGAGAAGATTTTGAGATATAAATACTGTTTCCATGGTAACCATATAAGTCAGAGATTGGACATTTCTGGCACTGACTAACCATGGTATGCTCTGCCTACTACAAAACTATGAATATATGACATGCATTAGTATTCTTTTTATCAGGTGGTATTAAAGTACCCCCAAGGTTTTCTTAGGGTGGGGGTATGAATTGGCCTGAGGGCCGTCTGCCACCCCTACATGAAGTCCAACTACCCAGAAAGTGCCTAGCATAATCATACAGACTGTTTGAAATATGTTGGAATGTGTGACCTTCCATGAAAAATGGAAGTTGCAATTATCAGAGTAGTCCACAGTCTATAACATGGGCTTCTCATGTCTGTAACCATCGTCATGAGAGTTTCGGTAAACGGTTGAGTATCAGAGCGAGTCGAGTGCTCCCATGTAACATCTGGTATCCCTCAGGAAACTTGCCTTTGACCGACCCTGTCTGCTGCCTTCATTAACAACTTTACTGAAACAACCAAGAACAAATTTCTCATATATGCTGATGACGCAAAATAATACTACAAAATGATCAAGACAGCATGTGTAAATGGTCAAATGAATGGCAACTACTATTTAAGTACTATAAATGCAAAGTGATGCATAAAGGATACGGAAATGACCAGCAGGAATACTTGATGGAATACCAGAACCTGAACACAAGATACGTACAGTTGACTAAATGTAAGAAAAAATGTATTTGGAAGAACTGAAGAAGAAGAATTGTAAAATACTGGAACAATCTCCCAGTCTGCAATAGATGCTGACAATGTCAACCACTTCAAGGTTGAAATTGACAAACATCTTCAAGTTCCTTACTACAACCCTTAGATTGATAGACCATGTCCCCCCTTTTTCCTACTTAGTAAGACTCAACACATAAAAGGATCTGGATAATATAGGAATCATCCTTCCTCCAGAAGATTTAGTACACAGGTATCACTGTTCCCCTCACCAGTTTGAACGCTTTCATCTCATTCTATAATACCTGTATATAAAAAGTTACACATTGTCAATTTAATTGTCATTTTTCAAATTAAATTGTTACCATTCAAAATATGACCATTAAATTGACGATGTGTAATTTTTTCATAATTTTTTGATGACCGGTTTAAGTGAAACATGTGTTCAATTTAGACTGAGACTAATATACTCTATATGGTGAATTTATTTGTTACAGAGTGTGGATGACCTTGTCATGTGCCTAGTGAGTATGGGATTTGGCTTAGAAGATTCACAACAGGCTGTCCAAGCTGGGAAACTTTCTGTAGAAGAAGCTATAGAATGGTAAGTACACCAGGTACACCAGGTACCTGGATTTCTTGTATACATGTGCAACAACTCATTGTTAGAGAGTTTCCAATGTTTTAAATGAGCTATTACAAATACTTCCCAAAATTAATTAAACTTGCTTTTGAAATACATATTCCAAGGAAGTTTTTACATTAGATCTATCAGTTCAAAAATTGCCAGGAAAATTCGATATTTCAAAAACTATCCATAAGAGGCAGACATAAAGAAATGTTTTAGAATTAAAATCTCAAATTAAGTAAAGTAAAACCTCTTATATCTATAATTCAAACACCTCTCAAAATGAACATGCAATCATTACAGAACAGTAATACATATTTAAGTACTATTTATTACATTTGTATGTTTGATTTATTCCAGGATTCTTCAAGGCAAACCAGGGTTAGCTCAAGCCTCTCTCACCTTGAGAAAGGTAAAATGTTTTGTTTGAATTATTGTGGTTTGCTCTATACACCGAAATGTTTATTTTAGGCACTTACTTTGATTGAAATACTCTCAATATATTTTTGGTTTTATGCATATCTGAATTGATTTTTAATTTTTCATATTTTTAATTTTTTCTTATTCTAGATTTCACTATTTTTGATCAATTTTATATTACAAGATCAAAAATGATCAATGTATGATGGACATGTACGATAAACATTTTATTTATTTTCATAGCTCTATGTTTGTCACATGATTGTACATGTTGCAGGAACAACGAGGTGAAGATGTTGGAGCCAATCCATTTGCAAACCCTCAGCCACTAAACTTACCCTCCTCTGCCCCTGTGACCTCCCAAGGTTCTCCCACGCCTCCCCCGGGGCCTGAGGAAGACAGGGTGACCAGCAGAATGTCAATGAATGACAAACAAAGACAGATCAAGGAAAGATTCCATGCTAAAGAACGAGAAGAAGCAAGGAAAAGTGCAATAGAAAATAAGAAATTAGAAAAGAAGGTAAAGTCAGCTGTCTAAATCAGTTTTTGGAATTTAATAGTAAATATAAAAGTAAGATAAGTTTTGTAAGAGTTTTTCATTAAAAATATGCATGTGTTAAGTCATATTTTGTTTTGCTAAATGAAGATATATAGAGGTTATTTAATGGTAGATTTTTGATACAGGGTATAGTCAGTTGTCTAAATCAGTTTTTGGAATTTAAGTGTTAATATAAAAGTTGAAATATGTTTTGTAAGAATTTTCACTAAAAATGTGCATCTGTTAAGTTTGTTGCCAATTGATAGTCCAGAGGTTAATTGAAGATATATATGCACTATACCTTCAATGAAAAATGTCTAACTTACTTATTTTGTCTGTCAAAGGCTAAGGCAGAAGCCCTGAAACAAATAGAAGAAGATCGGGAGAGAAGAAAAATGCGAACCAGCATAAAACATGAAACAACAGCTAGCCACACAGCACCAGCGGAGCCACCCAACACTGCAGCAGCGGAGCTAACTTCTAAAGAAAATAACAAAGATGTCAAGTCTGAAAAGTGTATCTTACAGGTAGGAAAACAAAAGGGTTTATACCCATTTAGTACCATGTATACGTTGACCCAGAGTTATTTGATGTCATTCTGTTTCATTATATACTTGCACTTGGGTCTAGGTGTATTTTTCTCATATTATATGTATTGTAGGAAAAATTAATTATTAGGTTTAAAATCCACTTGGCTTGTTGCCTTGCAACAGGTCTCTATGGCCTCTGTAACTAGTTCTAGATGAAGTCAGGATTGGCAAACTCACAGCTACCTGAATGCCAATGGCAATTACTTTTCACTCAAGGCAATAGACGAAAATGAGTTACATGTTGGGCAATGAACTGAATGCCAATATAATAAATTGGGCAGTCATGTATTCAACCTTAGCCGTGAACCCTGGTTGAGGCATGTAATGGGGTGAGGGGGGATGATGATGCAAGATTTGTTTGACATATGCTGAACATGTACAAGGTATGCATTTTTAGATCCGTCTACCTACTGGCCAAGCTTTGAGGCATAACTTTACAGCAGACACACTCCTGTCAGAGGTGTGGAACTTTGTCAAGGGAAAGTTAGACAATGTGGATGATTTGTGTCTAATACAGGTATGTGTGCAATGTTTATTTCTGTAAATTAGTGAATACAGGAGCTCACATGACTCGGACCAATGACCTCTAGGCTACAATGCCTTTGCCTAGCTTGGTGGGCTAATTCCCAGACCGCTTGGTCAAATCCAAATTGAAAATATAAGACAAATAAAAAGCATAGATTTGATAACTTTTGCCTAATGTCTATCTAAGGTCTTATCAAAATCATGTACTGGCGACTCTCTATTTTTCACATCCCTGAAAATTCAATTTACCCATAGTATATATTTACATGTACTTATATAATAGCAATCTGGTGACTTCCTCTAAATGCAGGGGCCGACATCATCTACTGGAACAGAGTGGATGATATCTGGACCCCTGCGTTTGGAGGATGGTCAATGATGACAATCTATTAAATAACAAGGTTACTCATATGCTTGATATTCTAATGAACAATTGAATGTTGTTTATCTTATGCTTGATATTCTAATGAACAATTGAATGTTGTTTATCTTATGCTTGATATTCTAATGAACAATTGAATGTTGTTTATCTTATGCTTGATATACTAATGAACAATTGTATGTTGTTTATTTTATGTTTGATATACTAATGAACAATTGAATGTTGTTTATTTTATATGCTTGATATTCTAATGAACAATTGTATGTTGATTATCTTATTTGAAATTGTAGCCATTCCCAAGGCAGGAATATGGTGAGATACATATGTGTGAGACACTACGTGACCTTGGGTTGACCCCTAGTGGCTCTCTCGTTGTCAAGAAAGCAGACTCGTCACCTCCAAAGAAAAGTTAGTCCACTGTGAATTCATTTTTTCTCATTTGCATGTTCATAACCTATTCAGTGTTAATTCTTAGAAGTTAAATGTTGGTATGTCAAAAGATTTAGATGGCAATGTTTCTTAATGAGATTCTGTTTTCTTTCAAATGATCAAATAGTGAACCAATTTTTTCATTTTGGGAGATTTTAGATTTTAATTTTAACAGTTTTAAATGTGATTTTATATGTACTACATATACCATATTATAGAATCAGTAACTGAGACTGTTACACTTGTTTCTAGTTGTTCCAGCTGATAGTCCAAAACAACAAAATACTGAAACTCAAGATTCAGCAGCAGCAGTAGATGCAGACCCGCCTTTGAATAATGCAGTTCCTCTGGGCCATAACCAGGTGTCTCCACCTACACAAGGGCATTCCTGGGGTGCTGGTAACCAGCTAGAGGTAGAAGAGGGTGTAGCACCACCACCTGATCAAGGTATAAACAAAATGTTCCTTCCAAAATAGGTCAAAGTATTATGAAACCGTCAGACACATTTAAGATGATTTGTTTGTTATGACAAGGTATCAAGCAGAATCTTTTCAGTTTCAATCTACATTTTTACTTTATTCATTTTGCACCAATTTCTTTCCTCTTGTCAAACTGTTTTATTTAAATATACCATATTTGTTATTTATAGATGTAGAAATGGCAGATGATAGTGGAGATGATGAAGTTGGAGGTGGAAACATGCCCCCTGGATTTGGAGGTGGAGGAATGGGAGGGGGATTAGGAGGAATGGGAGGGGGGTTAGGAGGAATGGGAGGGGGATTAGGAGGAATGGGAGGAGGATTAGGAGGAATGGGAGGAGGATTAGGAGGAATGGGAGGGGGGTTAGGAGGAATGGGAGGGGGGTTAGGAGGAATGGGTGGGGGATTAGGAGATATGGGAGGAGGACACCAAGGCCAGGATTGGGGAGAGGGTAATCGACTTGTCCCAGAAAACCATAATTCACAACTTGACTTACCAGCCCAACAACTTGCAGGTATAAATTCTAAAAATACATGTTTCTCAATGTCAGAATTTAACAAACTCATCAAAAGGAATTTTGGTTAAATTACATTGAATTGTTGTAGATCATAACCTGCTCAGCATCCCAATAGAAACTATTTACTTGTACTGTTGATTACATTTTAGCTGAAGCTGCCAGGCGTCGTTATGCAGGTCCCTCAAGCCAGCCTATTTCCCCTCATCTCACCCTGACGTACAATGTTACAAGTTTGACCAACATGATCATTAAGCAAGTGTCCACTAGGATTTGTGACGGCAGGAATCCACTCACAACACTCAGTGGTCTACCATCAGATGTCGCCACTAGGATTCTTGAGCATCTCATCAAGGAAAAAATTTTACGTCCAAAAACGTTACATCCATTTGTTACATGGTAAGATTGTTTTCATCATTGTAAGCCATTTCTCATTGTTGAAGCTGACAAGCATTTGTATGTTTTTGCACATACTTTCACATTCATATCTTATTTACTTATTAACTTATAAAAATAAAATCAGGTGTGCAAAACCGTGCCTCTGTTTTCACCTGAATTTTTTTCATCCTGTTCAGATAAATGTGACATAAGTTCTACATGTGTTTTTCCAGCCACTTACAGAAGTTAATACTAGACTGCTATCCCTACACAACCAATGAATTAATAGCTGCCATTAGGTAAGTTCACTATCCACCTAACGAACAAGTAGCTTAGATTACAACCTGAATGAACTTCTGTGCTAACTCAATTCTACAAGTGTCCTCCATGCATCGTCATTAAAAATGAAGTGTTATTAATCAACTCTGTTGCTTCATTTCAGCCTCCATAAGAATCTGCAGCATCTGAGTATGTGCTTCTGTCCGCTCATAACAGATAGGGGCCTTCAGCCACTAGCAGGTACATAATTCCATCGTATTGTCACCTTTGACCAATAAAAAGGCAGTAAAACCATGCATGGTCTTGGTCCTACATGTACAGGGTGGGCCAAAAAAAACCACCACTTTTTTTTCAAGACACTACAACTTTTTTATTTTCCAACCTGCATACCCCAAATTTTGCAGTTATATAGTGCCAAGGGTTCTTAGTAATAATACAATGTTACAGGTCCTTCAACTTGGATTATATTTGATCTAAAAGGGGAGTTCAATTGGTCCGCCACCCTAATTTATGATATATTTTTCGCCTTGCTGATATCGCAGTATCAATGAAATGTTAGCTAAGTTTTTTCAACCTGTCTTGATTGCCAGCTTCAGTTGAGCAATTTTCTTGATTGGATGCCTTCATAAAATCTCCTGGAGACCTTCCCATACCCTATACTCACTGGTGTTCGCATCAGGGCTATTATCTTGGTGATCATCAGGCCGTATCAGTTCAGGAACATTTTGCAAATTATGCCTATTTCTCACGGAACACCACATGTTTAAGTGAGACGCTGGTGACATATTTTATTAAAGTAAAAGTGGATAATTTATGATTGATGGCTAGATAACAACCTCAAGTTTTATTTGGTATGCAAATTATGATTTAATATCAAAAATTAAAAAAGTTATAGCATTTTGAAAAAAAAGTGGCGTTTTTTTTGGCCCACCCTGGATATGCATCGGTCAAATGAATATTGATTTTTTTGTACAATTCAAAATCTGATACTGGACAATTGGATATATAAATTCATTATTTTCAGATTATAATTTGGTTACTACATTTCTTCTGCAATTTCGTTTTCATTCCTTCACGTGGAAACAAATTCATGCTCTGTTAATGCAGAATACAGTGTTGAAATTGCAACTTGGGCTATTTTTTGATATCATGTCATTTTATTTTGAATTGTTATTAGTCTATGTATGTTTTTGTTTTTCAGCATTAAAGAGATTGAAAGTATTGAACCTTGGATCCTGTAATAACCTCACCAACAATTGTCTTCCTGTTATTGCAAGTAAGGATTCCATTTACTAAAAGCACCTTTCTTTTAAGTAAAATATTCATAGAATCTATAAAGTTCAACTGAGAGGATTTTATCTTTGGTTACGTATACAGCATTCACTTTCTAGAGGCTCTGACCACATAAGAATTTGAAATGATACTACATGTTATTTTGATGTTTGACCCTGCCCATTATGTTTGCAGCATTTTACAAAATAATATTTCCAGATTACCCTAGTCTAGTCACTCTGGTCCTGGAAGAGACACATGTCAATGACCAGGGAATCCAGGAATACTGCCAAACTAAACCAGAAAATCTGCAACACCTTAACCTCTGTAGGACTCCTGTAACACATAAGTCTTTGCAGTATTTGGCAGGTGAGAATATGTGTAACAGATTAATATCTTTAAAATATATTTTTGTGAAATTTCTCACACCTGGTGTAACAAAGAGGGCTGTTATATATGTTCAGCTTAAGATGATCTCTCACTTGCAATTTTAAAATGCTTTCCTAAGCTTGCACCATGGTAACTATTTTGTTTGTTTCCCTGGCCTAATTCCCTTCTAGGAGAATTTGAACTTCTGATCCAAATTAACCTGACCTGGTCTGATCCATTTTATCCTTTTATTACTCATCATTCTCATCGCTAAGAATATGTTCTTTTAATTTATGATATTGTTATGTTTTTGTTTATTTCAGATTTGCCAAGACTAAGAACACTAAACCTGGAACAAACTAAAGTAAGCCATTCAGTTTACTTTATCTGCGTTGTACAATTTTTGCAATTTGTATTTTCTGATTTGTGTGTGTAATGTTAGATCTGATATCAATATGTTACATGCGTATATGGAACACTCCTTAATGACCAAATGTTTTCTGTAGAAAAGGAATCACTAATGAAAAGGTTCTGCAAATTATTTGTTACTTTGAAAATTCCTGTATTTCGATTTCTATAAAAATCTTTTCAGGTGTGTAGTCTGACCGGTATTGATAAATTAGAAAGTCTGGAAGGTTTGAACATATCTGGGACTGCAATAGTAACAGAGTCTCTGATGTGTCTACTAGGATGTTCCAAACTTATCTCCCTCAATATCCCTAACACTGAGAATGTCACAGGTGACCTAGCATTGCAGTATATTTCAGGTAAGAATCTCTTAACCTCCATTTAATTGCGGCTAAGCTTGTTGCTCGATTATGTGTTTATGACCCCTTTGACAAATGTGCCTTGTATTGATATTGTATAAGCATAAGAATGGGAAATCATACCTCCTTTGGTAAATTGAAACTTGAAATGAATCTTTTTTAGGTGTTAAACTCCAATCTCTTGGACTTCCTAGCAGGCTCTCCACTACAGACACTGGGATATCTCACCTTAAAGGTAAACAGAATTATACAAAGGGCAACATGAGAGTAGAGAAAAACATTGAAGTCAACAAATTATATCAAACAATATGCCAAACTGGCTCTCTTTGCAGTACAATATGCCAAACTGGCTCTCTTTGCAGTACAATATGCAAAACTGGCTCTCTTTGCAGTACAATATGCAAAACTGGCTCTCTTTGCAGTACAATATGCCAAACTGGCTCTCTTTGCAGTACAATATGTCAAACTAACTATTGAAATTGGTTATATGCAGTTTAATATGCTAAACTACCACAACTGATTCTATTAGTAATACAATGTGCCAAGCTAACACAATCAGTTCTATTACAAAATAACATGCCAAATTGTCAAATCTGATTCTATGCATGGGACAAAATGAGAATGATGCCATCTTGTACTTAATACATCTGACTATGTCTGTAGCCAAGATAGCTCTATTGAACCATGTGTATACTCTGATGGTAAAGTAGACCTATAATTATATTCCTATACTAGTACCTCAAAAAATTCTATATTTTATGCATTATTGTTTTATTGTTATTTTAGATATGCCTTTACAGTCTTTAGATCTCACAAACTACATCAATGTTACCAGCTCTAGTATGCAATATGTTGGACAGATACACAGGTAAGAAGTATTTTGGATGAAACTCTTAGTAAGGCATTTTGAATTCCTAATTCATTTTTCCATTAGAAAAAATCTAGGAATACTTTCATTATGTAAGTGGGTGATTTGCATTCTCAGTGTTGATATGATATTGTGCACAATATCCGAGAAAATGCTGAATCTGTACAGTGTTTGAAAAAATGCTGATATTGTGTTCAGATTTCCCAAAAAATGCTGATATTTTTACCGTTTTTGAGAGAATGCATTTATTTGATTTGTTTCAGTTTAAAAAAGCTTCTTCTTGGGAATACCAAGATCACTGATGAAGGACTACTCATGCTAGCTGGTGAGTGTAGCAGTTTTAATTAGAGCTTGCATATACTGTAGAATATATATGTTTATTCCATAATAACATGTTTTCCCTGGGAAAATAACAGGGAATAAAAGTGTTATTTGAAAAATCCCGTATCAGATCCCGTATCAGCCAAAATCCCGTATCAGATCCCGTATTGGATCCCGTATCAGCAAAAATCCCGTATCAGATCCCGTATCAGAAATATTCCCGGTAATTTCTCTTGAGTTTTACGCTTTTCGTCTAGCACATCTCTACAGGAAGTAAAAAAATCGTTTGGAAAATTGAAATTATTGAAATTATTATCATCTAGTTTACGTCTATTACTGTGACAAAGGTCTATTACTGTGACAAATATGTCTAGGTATGCAACAGAGGATGTTGATGACTTCATTAAAGGTCAAGAAAATATCAATACTTCGAAGAAAACTAAAAGTGACATAAAAATCCTAGTAGATTTTTTACGGAGTGAGAGGAATGAACTCAGACCGATCGAGGAGATAGATCCCCATGATCTTAATGACCACCTCAAACATTTTTTACATTTTACATTTTTTTACTTGATAATTTACCTCGGTAAATATTATATTGACGCTCACTCGCTACGCTCGTTTGGTCAATATCATATTTCCCTCGGTCAATATCATATTACCCTGGAATAAAATTCATATTGAAAATCAAGCATGAAATAACCTATATACATTTCCTTGTACATGTACACATATTTCAAAACTTCATATTTCATATTATGTTGAATAAGAATTAGTTTTGAATATTCTGTATTTGGGACCAGATTCAGAAATATATTTTATCTTATGGTGGAGAAGTGTGTGTGTGTGGGGGGGGGGGTCATTTAACCCTTTTTGCATTGTTAGACTGTTTAGAAAGTTGGAGTTTGTTTTTTCTTCCTTTCTTAGCTGTGTTTTAACACATTTTGTTTTTTGCCTTGAGTAATTGTGCTCTTAAACATTTGGACTGTGATTTGCATGTACATATACTGTCATGTGTATTTTACAGGTCTGACAAACCTTACTGTGCTCTCCCTTGACAGAACAGCCATCACTGATGCCGGGGCCACCATAATACAAGGTATTGAGTAAACATATGCATCCTTTCAATAGACTGCTATACATGTAATGTCCAGTGCATGTAGATGTGGGGAAAAGTAATCGTGATTTTCATAAATAAATATCCAAAATTAAGTGAAAGTGACATCAAAAATCTACATTCGAAAATTAGACTAAAATGAGGGTTAAAAACTTTATTGCAAGGTAGAATCCTATATTGCCCCTAAAACCTATTTATGATAGAAGCATCGAATCAGTTACTAATATAGCTGAATGCATTTGAAGAAAATTGAAACATTGTTTCATTTCTGTTTTCCAGGATTGACACAGCTTCAAGAGTTAAGCATGTCGGAAACTGGGTAAGTGTTGTACAGCCACACAGTGTTAAATCATGGATTGGCTGGGACATATTCAAATTGTTTGATTCAGTTTTCAGTTTGATTCAGTTTTGCTCTTTATCTCACCACTTTAAACTTTTGCAGCTGATCTGTTGATGATATAGCTCGTATACAAATCAGAATAATGGCAGACCCATTTGTTTGGTTCTGACTGCTAAAAGATAGAACATTATCAATACCAAATAAATAAAACATTTCATGAAGGTTTTGTCTCATTCAACCATAACATATAAATGTCTTGCATGTATAGATTATTGTGATTCATCAAGGTAGTAATAATATTTAGGTCTTCTGGTGATTGGTCTACCTTTTCTCAACATTGATGATATAAAACGTTACCACAGAGTGAGCAGTAACTTTCTTTGCGATGGTGTTCTTAATAACTGCCTGTTACTCTCCAAACTTATTTAGAATTATTCTATTTACTTTTCAGAGTGAGCAGTGACTTCTTATGCAATGGTGTATTCAATAACTGCCTGTTACTCTCCAAACTTATTTAGAATTATTCTATTTACTTTTCAGAGTGAGCAGTGACTTCTTATGCAATGGTGTATTCAATAACTGCCTGTTACTCTCCAAACTTATTTAGAATTATTCTATTTACTTTTCAGAGTGAGCAGTGACTTCTTATGCAATGGTGTATTCAATAACTGCCTGTTACTCTCCAAACTTATTTAGAATTATTCTATTTACTTTTCAGAGTGAGCAGTGACTTCTTATGCAATGGTGTATTCAATAACTGCCTGTTACTCTCAAACTTATTTAGAATTATTCTATTTAATTTTCAGAGTGAGCAGTGACTTCCTATGCTATGCAATGGTGTTCTTAATAACTGCCTGTTACTCTCCAAACATATTTAGAATTATTCTATTTAATTTTCAGAGTGAGCAGTGACTTCTTATTCAATGGTGTTCTTAATAACTGCCTGTTACTCTCCAAACTTATTTAGAATTATTCTATTTAATTTTCAGAGTGAGCAGTGACTTCCTATGCAATGGTGTTCTTAATAACTGCCTGTTACTCTCCAAACTTAACCTCAGTAGAACTGCAGTATCAAACAGAGGTAAGATTAACAGTACCTGGAGTGTTCACATAGAATCATGATTCTACCACACTGATGATGCAAGTGTTACAACTCACTTAGTTTGGGACTCCACACTATTTATATTACATAAATATTTGAATTTTACCACTCTGTTCTAATAACAGTACACACCCACAAATTTTGGGTATGGATCTTTTTCCAACACTCATTTTGAAAAAATAGGGAGAACCCTGAATATGTGTACATTAAAATATGTTAATGTACTTAACTTGCTTTTAATATTTGATATCATGTCCATGGACAATGCCATTGAAAACGGTACTATGGAATATCTTCCTTTGAATTGCACCAGGATTCCATTGTGAATTATCTGAAATAAAAAAGAATTTTAAATATAAAAAAAGGATTCCATTTGTTTCTTCTTTTGATAACATTATTGAGAATTTAACATTCATACCATTGCTGCCTAACGACATTGGCATTAAAGGCTAGCATAGTAAGAAAAAGTTACAAAAAAATATAAAAATATCACAATAGATTTTGTAAAATGTTATACATTTTGAGGCTAAATTGTCTAACCGTGTCTAATGCTTGCTTATTGTTGTAGGTGTGAGGCACATCCATCTGCCTCATCTCTCTCTGATCAACCTGGATGGAACTCGGGTGAAGAGCAACATCCAGCATCTCATCACTGAGTGTCCACAGCTTGTTAGAGTCAGTGTTAAAAATCTTCAACCCAGAGGTCAAGATTCAGATTCTGAATGAATATGATTTTTGGAATGTGAGGTGACAGGTCAAATATTATTCAGGGCTGAAAACCTCCTTTAATTAGTCTTGAAACATTATTGGGTTTTAGGGGGTGATAATATAATACAACTTCCTTTTAATTTGCAGATTACATCTAAGAAAATAAGAGATGTAATTGATTTTTGTAATGGTTACGAAGTGAAATGTTGAGGGTGGTCATAGTTGAAAGGAAAATCAGTTTTGTTTTTACACCCAACTCAAAAGACCGCTCAGACTCCATTTCCCTCATTTAATAGTTTAGTTAAGAATCTGAAATTGAACTCTTGATCTGCTCCCTTAGTTCCATGTGGTTTCTATCAGGTGAATTATTGTACAATGCATTAGAATACAATGCAATATATTGAATATAACACTGTACATTTGGATGCAATACAATACAATACATTAGAATACAATTTCATACATTGAATACTGTATTTAGTACTGTACATGCACAATACAATACAATAAGTTGTATATAATATACGGAAATCAATATTTGAATTTGTTGATACAATAATGAAAAGTTGGAGATTTATCTAGAACAAGTATGTTTATGCGTTTAAAATTGCATTTGAATAGAAATCTTCCATTGAAAATTGTATCCATTAGTTTGTGATTTGAAGACTCTATGCCAGTAGTTATCCTCTCCACAGTGTTGCCATGTTGTTTTTGAACATGCTCATATGGATAAAGGGTTAACATTAAATGCAATAAGGGATTGAACGTCGAGGAGACAAATTGCATACATTGTACATTGTAGTCATAGCCTCTTTAATAGTACATGTGCCAGTAATTGAGTTTTTGGTCAAGTTTACTTGGCAGGTCAAATGTCAAGTTTAGAAGGTGCATTTTTATTAATACTCTCTATAGACTTACTACTATACTATACTATAAAGAACTTGAATGTTACATTGATTCACATGTCAAGGTCAATATAATTATGAATATTATTTATTGTTATATGATTTATACAATATTCTGTGTAGAACCATGGACTTTCAACTAGAATTGAAAGAACTAAGTTGGGAGAATTGCGACTCTTACATGTATTCACATGGTTCTTCATGATTACAGAACTTAAACAGATTTCATGGTTATTTTACCTACAGCATATCAGCCATCAGTCTAGTTTTCTTAAAAAGAATCATTTATTGAATTGACATAGATTTTGTTAATCCATGACAGATACACATTGTTTGCTGGTAAACAATATTAATTTATTTTACAAAATATTATAACTATCTGTAATATAGCAATGGAAATAAAATGTTGTAGTTGATTATTTATATCATTATGTTTGTATTCTAGTATCATTTGATTAGTCAGTTAGTTATACATATCTACATTTTTCAATGATTATTCAATGACATACAATTCATGGTGATCCGATGTGACTAGATGCACTGACAATCCAACAAAATGAATAAAGGATGGAAAATATTAATTCAGTTTGGTAAAGATCTGAAGATACCAGTTTGTCAGAAGCAGCTGTGTTCTTTTTTTTTCTCTAATAACAAAGTTAACAGCAACACACAACAATTGATAATTGAGGAACATTTACATGGTTCAGTGACATGCAAGCTTATTTTAACAGCTATGTTTGGATTGATGGCACACGCGTATACTCGAAAATTATTCTATGCGTTATTCCTATTTTCTCTGTGTTGCATAATTGTTCTTATTTATTACACTGGCAAAAGTGGACGGTTAATAAGTTCCAAAAGAATCAGAATGGGACAATATAATGGTACAACACTGAGAAAAAGCAGAAATGTGACACGTGACCTACCTCGGAAATCATACAAACTATTATGTTGGGTTTTAACAAGTCCCAAAGACTTAACCGAGATAACAGTTCACATCCGAAACACATGGGGTAAGCATTGCGACGTCACACTATATATGAGCTCGGTAACGAACGCTTCATTCCCAACAATTGGACTCGGCGTTCCTGAGGGTAAAAGGAAACTAGCTGTAAAGTCACGTGCTGCCTGGATGTATGTTTTCAAATACTTTTTAAACAAGGCGGACTACTTTCTCAAAGCGGACTCGGATACATTTGTTGTGATTCACAACTTGAGAGTATTTTTGGAGAACCATGATCCCGCACAGCCAGAGTTTTTTGGTCATATATTATATCAAAATGGAAACAAGAATAAATTGTTTATGTCTGGGGGAAGTGGGATTGTGGTCAGTAAGGAAGCTTTGCGAAGACTTGTCCAGATTGGAATGCAGACAATTAAACCCGACTGTTTCCCTTCAGGCTGGAGTAAGTCGGTAGAAATTAAAATTGGCCTAATTCATGTTTCTCGGCTATATTCTTTTATTAGCTTTATTAGATTTTCAACGACTAATCGCCTGAATATATTGCATCACCCTCTGAATAGATTGAACAAAAATGAGGTCTAATTAAAATATTTTTATCTAAAAATGGCAACAACCAACCATCTTGTATTTTGGCCAGGGGGATTAACCCCTTTGTTATAATAAAAAATTATAATATTATAAGTTATTGAATGATTTGAAGTGCAATACAGGATATATTCTGCTCTAGAAATTCCGTGTTGGAACGAGACGAAGTCGAGTGCCAATACAGAATATCGAGAGCAAAATGTATCCTGGACCTGTATTGCACTTCAAATCATTCTATAACGTTTTTATCGTGTTTTATTTTGTCCAACAAGGTTCGGAAAGACATTTTATTTCATTTTCAAGAATTGGTAGAAAGGAACAAAAAACAATTGCACTAAAAAACGAAAAATGTTAACAAAAACAGTTATAGAAATATATATGAATAATTTTCGCATTAAATTGTTGTCAATCAGTCAACATTACATAAAGGACTGTGTTTTTACAGAATGTTTTTAATAATTGGTGGAATTCAGTTCACCATATCGATACATATCCTTTTATTAATAGAATATTAGCTCACACTTCTAATATAAAGAATGGCAGTAACTTTCCATTTTATGGAATGTCTAAACGATACCCATTTTCACTCAATACCAGACATGTTTTTTAAATACCTCATTTTCTTAAGTGTATGAATGTAGGGAATATTACAATTACCTTATTTTCTAATCTAGATGAAGATCTGAAAGCATCTACATGTTTACTGAAGTCAGGCTGTAGACCAGTGAATGGTAGTGATAGTTTAGGGAGAGACAGGTTCCTAATGTACCCACCACATAGGTATATGCAGCATCTAATCGAACCATTTGTCGAGTTGTATCAGCCCAGCAAAACACGACTGGTAAAGAATGCTTGATACACTACTTCCAGTTAAAATATTTTGTGAGCCAATCAAACTTAAAAGTAGTCAACCAAGGGACGACAATGTACTTCTATTTGAAAAAATATATATTCTTACCCAACTTTTATTATTTCGAAAGTATTAGCCGTGTTAATTTTGAAGTAATGCTTCGAAAATAACATGGTAGAGAAGCAACAAATTATAGAAACACTTGCCAAATCCGAACGCCATCGGTGCCGCTTTAAGTGTCCGGATTAGGAGGTGTTCACGTTGCAAGGATTTTACAGTCCACACACTCTCAATGAATATTTATCGTTGAATTAACCACATAGCTCTATTGCATTTCAAATGTGTAATCTGATTTATTATATTATATATATAAATTAATTTATTACAGTAGCTAAAATATATTTAATCAATTAACGATTTGACGTCCAATTTAATTTCATTCTGCTCCTTACCCCTGTCCCTGATATATTTCAATTTTTTCTTCACTCTCTTTGTGTAGCTGACGGAGTGGCCGTCTCAGCGTATCGACTGATTTTTGATTATGTTATGGCTACAGAGCTGCGTAGTCCTTTTGATCAAACAACAATAATTTTCATTTCAGGGTCTTGACTGTTGTAGTGAAGAGCCCATCAGCTTCCACAGGGTGGGCCCAGATATGATGTACGACTTTTACTATGTCTTCTACAAACTGCAGAGAGGAAAGACCTCCTAACCGGCACAATGCAATACAATACAATGCATTAATTAACATATTTGCCATGAAACGACATATTTGCCACTTCAGCAAAGAGCTTCCTGCGTTTTATTAATTTTTTCATTCTGGTAGTTCTTGTGACAAGCGAGGAAGACCACCCGATGTCTTCGAAAAAGATGGGAGCTTGAGAACAACATCTGATGGCTAGCATCCCGAATCCCGATACAATGCATAGCATTGCTGTCCCATACCATATCATCTATAGCAGTATAGTAATGTCCAACACCCATTAATTCAAAAGAGAAATGACATTTTAAAGATGTGCTTCGCCAACTACAAGTTACATTTTAAGTAACATAATCATCTTCTACATGAACATTGTACGGCAGAGTTTTCGGTAAAATGTATTCAAAAGGTGAAATATATGTTGATCTGTCAAAATATACAATGAACATTCTTTATAGAATTTACGTACCATCTCGGACTGAGCATTGGTAGAAATATCCCATCTATGTATATTTTGATTTAATATCCGTGAATCGATCAATACGGTGCATTTTTCAAAGTTTACATTTTTTGTATCTTACTTTTTTCACGGTTAACAATGATTATCAAATTATTTTGCAATTTATTTTTCTGCAGTACTCACATAGTTTGATCATCTCCCAACCAATTTTCAGATTAATTTGTCATTTCCTTTTTACACAACAATAATGTTTCAATCATCTATGATTGGCCATATCTATTCCAATTCCCATAGTGTTATAAAAACCGGAAAGATTCTGATATGGTAGTTTTCGATCATATTTCAGGACCATCTAAAAACTCCTACAGGACTGGTAATCTGGAAGTCTTTAATCAACTCGGTTTGACGGGAAGCTTCCCTATCATATCCCTACGTGTATTGGGATGTTAAGAAAGCCCGTTGGGGTCACTACATGTTCTTTGCTCCATGCATGCATATTTATCATAGGCTTTATTTTGCATAAAACTGAACATAGACAATTGAAGAGAAACCGACACTTGAGAAACACCTGTCTAATTAAACTCATTGTGATTATAATTGATAAGATCTATTATCACTTGAAGGTCGTTACTTAGGGCTTGGCGACCATATTATTTTATATTTTTCAATATCGTATAAATGATTTTAAAAATAAAAGATGAGAAATTTGAAATTGTTCTCGGAAATGTTACTTTTCATCAAACTGTCTGAATATTTGTAATATTCACATTTGAAAAAGCAGATAGAACACATAAACAATCTCATGGGTTGTTGAACTTGTACTACAATCAAACTGATAACATTCAAATTGAGTTAAAGGCTCGACTTCAACTTTAAAACTCAGTTAGGTAGAGTTTAGTAATTTCTGTCTTCAACTAGAAATATGCTCTGATTTAGTTTGAGTAATTTTCTAGAAAGAACCTAACAGAAGGTCATGATTCTTCATGATGGTCAACTGTTGCCAATACAGATACTTCCTTGAGTGTGGATCAGTTCGTTGATCAATTAAGGACATATTGATATTTTATAAGGTGGTTATTATTTCAAGCAGAACAGGAACATAAGATGAGCCTTTAAGAGAAAGGTAATGAAACCATTGACCTACTATAGTATTTGCGAATCATACTTCCTCTGGCTATGACAATGAAAGGTAAGTTCTATTCGTCTTATTCTCTACATGTGCAAATATTATATAGCGTAAAATCTTTGAAGTAACCTTCTCATATTAACGATTCCATTATTTTCATTTAAAAAAGAAACAGGATTTAATTTGATAAAATTGTTTTCATAAAATGAAATTGAATCGAAACTAGTATTTGAAGGTTATCCTAAGTTACTCATCTTCATCTTTTTGCTTGTCTTTGTCGACTTTTGAAATCAACCAGTTTTTCAAATTCATTTTGAGCAGTCCTTGTTTCGCAAAATAATATGTTATAACAATATTAGTACGTTACTTTTTATAAATTCATTTCTAGCACCCTTTGGGGGCTACACTGCAATCAGTTTTTTTCATTTTAGGAGTTTTCATTTGTTTGAGCGTCCTTGTAACGTTCGCAGTAGCGAGACCTGTAAGTACTTTTCAGTAGCTAGTCTATTTATGTTGTTAAAAATCATTTCATATTTTTAGTCATGTAATCATATTTGCTAAACTTGAATTTTATAATTGTTTCAGAATTATAATGGGGAACGGCATATGACATTAGGTGATGATATAACTGCAAACAAACGGGTAAGTCGGAGCGTGCGTGTGTCAATGAAATGAAAGGCGCCATCCCAATTCCCTTCCTAAAATTGCTAATAATGTAGCATTCAAGTACTGTTTTTGGTTGTTACGCGCTTATTTGATGTGAAACACTTCATGGTTAGAAGCGTAATTTTTACAAACACAGAACCATCTGTTACAGACATGCTCTACCACAAGAGCTATCCCGATATGCTAAGCTGGAATTACTTTGCATCAAAAGATTCATTGTTATGTTCAAATACAGTACATGTATTCATCATTATACTGTCTACATGTAGGTCTTTGTGGTTGGAGATGTTCATGGTTGCTTGGACGAATTGAGATTATTACTAGAAAGAGCTGACGTATTGAACCGTGATAGGAATACAATCAAATCGGATGCGATTGTTGTGTTTGCTGGTGATATTACAAATAGAGGACCAAGGAATCTTGACACTCTCAAGTTTGTGAGGAAAAGCGGTTGGTAACGTTAAATTCATATTACTGCTTTGTTGGATAGATCAAAACTCGCTAAGAAGAACTATGACCTGTAATCTGGGATACATCAGGTGTTAATGTTAATTCTTTTTTTTATATAAATTCACAATTAGACAACGCGTTTTACAACCAATTCATTAATGACCTGAATTAATGATTATATAGGTGCCTATCAGGTTCGTGGCAACCATGAAGACAATCTGAATAATAACCCAAATGGTTATTCCTGGTTCAGACACGCATCAGGAAAAGACCGCAGATACCTACAATCACTACCTTACACTATAACCATCTCCAGGTAACTCATTCGTATTTTTAAATCATAAAGTTTTTGTGAAAGGGAGAACAAGGGAGAAGGTTGTCACAATTTTACAATATTTTACTCACACATGTTCATGCCATACCTATTTTCTACAACATATCATGTTCTAAAAGTTCAAAGAGTTATTTCGTTGAAATTCTTCGATTTTTAAGGTTTCAAAAAGGGATGATTAATTTGGACATTTATAACTCTCTAATCTTGAATAATTTCTGTAGGGCTATTTCATCAGATATCTCAATTATTTTTTCAGAAAATAAATTTAGGCTTTTCGAAAATATAACTTCAACTCTCTCTATCCCCTATTATTTCTTTAATAGTCCCGATCCTGAAGCGATCCCATTTTGTGCCAAATGAAAATTTTGTACGATAGATCCAAATATATTAGGTATGATGTATATATTATTTTTTTTGTAATCATTTCCATAATTTCAGATTCAACACAGTAGTTGTCCACGCTGGACTTCTTCCTGGTAAACCTATCCATGAACAGAGCCGAACGGTCATGACACGCATGCGCAATATTGCATTTGATAATTTCGGGAATCCTTTGCCCATCGAAAGACCTGGCAGGGGGCGAGAATGGGCGAGATATTGGAATGGACCCCAAGATGTCGTGTTTGGACACGATGCTGCACGAAACCTCCAAATAAGATCAAAATCGATTGGTCTCGATACAAATTGCTGGAGAGGGGGCCGTTTAACTGGAGTATTCCTACCCATATCTGCGAGGAATATTGTTTCTAAAGGGTGTGGAAATTATTGCCCACCAGATGGCTCTAACTGTTAAATATACGTAATGTTAATCATTAACACCATTGTGCACTGTAGTTCTGTTGTGGATTCATTGCTTTAATGGAAACTAAATGTTCATCCTGTTGGTTATACCATTCATCAGATTCATATAGATACGAAAAGATTATGAAACAGTTGATACACATCGCCTACATATTGTTGACATATGTTTACACAAAATTCACAATCTTACAAAGATAACACCTCTACACTCCCATCGTGAGATATCACAGCCTCCATTCACAACCACTCTTGTGCATTGCAGAGATGGTCTGAGTATCAGAATGCTACACTCCCATACATCATGCACATCCCAAACAATAGCAAGCGGTTACTGTATTCAGCATGATATATTTGACCGTATGGAGCACAATCATAGTTTTATGTTGAAGTATAGAAAGATCCTTTGAATATCAGATAAAATGATGAAGCAGAAGAACATTTTTAGTGCTCGCGTGACCCAAACTACAAATCCCCAAGGGGTACACATACCCTAGAACTGGCTGGGCGTCAGGCGATACAAACTTTCCACCTAGAATAGTTTTATTTTATACAACCAACTTATGTATTCAAGATATATAGATAATATTATTTCCAACACGAAACATTCCCGGGGAAACATTATTGTTTGTCCAATTCATAACAAGTACAGTAGTCCTAGGGAGTACCACTAAGGCTATTTATGATGTACCACAGCTTTGTCTTCTTCATTTTTTAACTATTGAAAGGTACTAAACTTGATTTATTCATAGCTATACACAAATCTGATCTTTCTCGTCTAAACAGTAAAAAGTTAACCCAAACACGGATTATAGTTTTCCAACCAACCCAGAAAGGTCAAAAATCGTCACTTAACATAAGCATTGACTTTAACAAGTGGTTCGAAAGTGAACAAATTTTTTCTATGTTTTCCTTGAGCTTTTCTCACATTTTCTAATTTATGTAATTATTTGAGTTTTGTTTTGGCCAAATACAGATGGCCTATGGAAACCATCACTGAGCTAGACTGAAGTTCAAATATTCAAATTATTTATTTAAGCAGCTACAGTGGTACATTAACTTGCTTTCGAGTTGGAAAAAAATTAGGTAGATAGTTATATAATTATACATTTACATACAAACTATATACTAGGGTAATTTGATATTGATTGATATATGGCATTCCTCAATGGCATTTCAATAAATTGATAATGCTTTTCTTTTATAAATTCCACAATTCTAGATACAGTCAGATGAGATTCATGAAACCGTTTGTAGTCAGTTAGCCGGGTTGATGTTTCTGCCCTCATTTTTAGAAAAGGCTAGGGAATTTCAGTCGTTTCCTGAGAGTCAGTTGGAACGTCTGCAATACTAGTTTCTGTCGTCTCAGAATCAACAGAACCGCTTACAGTCACAGTACTGCCTATCGTCACAGAATCATTAGGGACTACCACACTTCTATTTCCAGTCGTTTCAGAGTCAGTGGGAATGTTGACCGTGCAGTGGCATCCGTTTTTGTGGAGTTTTCTTGAGAACACGTGAAGTTTGCGCCAGTGGAATTTGTACAGGTGCCGTTACCTATGTCGTTAATTGATGTGATGAATATCCCGGCTAGTATGAGAATCACTAAACTCAGCAATACGAGACCAAGAAAGGCAAATGTTCTAATATTGTCTCTGCAAAAATAGATGAAATATGAAACAATTTTGCAATGGTTGAAGTTTAGTATGACAGTATATCTCTCCATCTATACACCCTTAGATAACTCTACCTTTAATTTACCAAGTTTTTGAGAATCCATATAGGCTATTGGTTGCGAAGTTACAGCTGCCTGAAGAAGGCTCGAAAAAATTATCTTGCATCCCATAAAGAATTTTAGCGTTTTTGGACATAAGGTGTTTTAAAACACAAGACTCGGTATAATGTATATCATTTGAAAGCTGTCAATTTGTATTACATACTAGAAGTTAGGTTGAAATATCGAAGAAGGACACTAACACTTTCTATTGATTTCTATTCTATTGAAATATTCCATATATTTCTTCTCCTCAGAAAATATGTTTAGAAAGTTTATTTTTTTCAAAATTTTTCCCAAAACCTTTCAATAAGCAAAGGGTTAAAATTTAATAAAACAGACATCATTTATGTATAACTTTGGTCTTAAATTATTCGATCTATCACTATCTGAAAAATTATGATAAACCCCTTAAGAGTTTTTTGATTGACCAAGCTTTCCATTTGTTTCTCGATTCTGATGTTTCATCGACGATCTTTAAATGGCGGATCCAGAGGGGCATCTGACCTCCTTGCTAATTCATGGAAGAAAATACTTGTGACAACCCACCCATACTGGGTAACCGGACAACTCATCCCCTAGACGACTCATCCCTGGACAACTCATCCCCTGGACAACTCATCCCCTAGACAACTCATCCCCTGGACAACTCATCCCCTAGACAACTCATCCCCTGGACAACTCATCCCCTAGACAACTCATCCCCTAGACAACCCTTCCCCTGGACAACTCATCCCCTAGACAACTCATCCCCTAGACAACTCATCTCCTAGACAACTCATCCCCTGGACAACTCATCCCCTAGACAACTCATCCCCTAGACAACTCATCCCCTGGACAACTCATCCCCTAGACAACTCATCCCCTAGACAACTCATCCTTTAGCATGTTTGAGTAATTTAATGTTATATTATCAATTCATATAACATGAACACTGGTACTCCACCCACAAATGTATGTCAGTATCATATGTCTAAGAAAATGTACATGATCACGAATGATCTGTTTCAGTAACCAGCGTAAAGACTTTCTGGGGAGGATCTGGAAAATTGTTAAAAAAACTTTGAAATTATCAACCAATTAATCTGTGATTTGTTTTGTAAATATTTACTTTTGATTTTACTTTTAATATACAGTTTCAATATTATACAGTATTAACATTGATTGAAGAAGCTCCTTTGATGTCATAATATGTTTGTTGTTCATAGCTCAAATATTCTTTAATCCAAAGATTATTTTTTCACAGCATTCACAGATGAAGTTACTAAAATGCAATTTTGAGTCATGTAATATATAAAGTGAAAAATGATATTTTGAATGATCTAAGGTGTATTTATTAAATAGAAAGAAACACTTCACAATTTAGCTTCATATGAAAAAAGGATGAGTTGTCCAGGGGATGAGTTGTCTAGGGGATGAGTTGTCCAGGGGATGAGTTGTCTAGGGGATGAGTTGTCTAGGGGATGAGTTGTCCAGGGGATGAGATGTCCAGGGGATGAGTTGTCTAGGGGATGAGTCGTCCAGGGATGAGTTGTCTAGGGGATGAGTTGTCCGTAAGCCCCCATACTGCGTATGACATCGAATGGCATTGATATCAAAACTACTATCAGTGCTGGTGTTATAACAATTATATTCGCGTAATCAGGAGAAAAAGCAATGTACTGATCTAAGCATAGATATCATTTTTGACATTGTCAGATTGTTGTTCAATGTTTTAATGGTTTTTAGCAATACGACATGTAGCTCACCCGTCATCAAATTCTAGATGCTATAATCATAAATTCTGTACCTTGACTTCATCGTTCTATCTGAAAAGTCGATCTTTTTGTTTTTTGTTTCCATGCTGTTGATGTTATGTCTATCATCATCGTTTTCTTGTACATCTACATATACGGGCGATGTCGACATTTTGAAGGTGTCTAACTTTTAATCGTAATCCTTTTTATGATAAATTCTTGTAGGAGTATGTGTATTTGTTGTTCTTAATACTGATACCGTATATAGCCTCGAATTCAACGAGGGGAATCAAGTTAACCTAGAAAACAGTTTATGTGTCAAAAAGTCAACGTTTAAATAGAAATGAATGCATAAATCTTATAATGATTCAGAAATGAGCAATTACTGTAGCCTCAACCTAATTAAAGGTTGTATGAATGTAAAGAATGTAAGCACTTTACGAATAAAATGCTACTATATTACTACTTGTTTAAGGATTGAAGCCTTGGATTCAGTGCGTTGTGTGCTGAACCATTACATGAAGATGTGGTTTCCAAATCTTTGCATGACCCCGTAGGGGAATGCAAAGTTTAGAAAACAACATCTGAGTGGAATGAAGCAACCACAATGCATTGAGTCTTGGGCTTGAATTATTTTCATACATTGCAAAATATTTTCTATAAAATCAACTAAAAGATACAAAATCATTAAAAGAACATATTTTCAGTGAAACCTTTTGCCATGTTTGCAAGGGTCAAGTATTGGACAACTCAATTTCAATCTCAAACTCATAGCAACTGTACACAACAAATGCGCTATTGATATTTCACACACTGTTCATTATGTGAATACTCTGTCGAATTGGCTGGAATCGGACACACCTTGCCTAGCTATGCGTGAATAGTACAATAACATCATTTCGAAGGGCAATATAGTGATATTGGACGGAGGGCCGAAGGGCCAAGGTTCAATATTTCACTGTATTACATACCGAGCGAAGCATTTGTATTGAAGTCAATGGAGCTGAAGGTCGGCTATATATTCCTGTATAGCCGCCAAACCGTTTACCATGACAATCTTATGACGTCATCGGGACGTCATGTTTCATTTCTTCCTAATTTCACTCGCACACAGACACGTGGCGTCATTGATATGACGTAGCCATGATATAAAAGTATGTAATACAACAGTTATGTCCGTATCATTGAATATATGCCTTCGGTCTGTCGTAATATAACCCTCGCAAGCTCGGGCTATATTGGTGACAGACCTTAGGCATATATTCAATGATAGGGACATAACTGCTAAATATTGCCCGCAGAAATGACGTTATTAGTATTATTACCACCGTTAATGACCAGGGCTGAAATAGCAAGAAAATCTTACGCATTGAACGATATCTAATTTCCCGGTCATTAATTGCATTATTGACCGGTGTGAAAAAAAATTATAGTCCCCTGGGGATTATGGTCCCCTTTCCTTACGGCTCTAACTGGCCCTGACTGTGTATAGATAATAAGGAAAATAATTGTAATTATGTCACCATATAAATCAATAGAGAGTAGGATCAAAATTTGATAGGACCATCTACCCTTTTACAACGGCATTATGGACCTCCACTATGACACAGGTCGATATAGTAAAACGAATGCCCTAAAACACATAGAACTGGCCCGGTAAGGTGGTAATAATCATTTTCAATGCATGGATTGTTTCCTATAACTCAAACTAATAAACTACGTTTAAAGTGCCCGATAAACTATAAAATGCGCATGCGTCCAGGTGTTGATAAACTATAAATAGCGAAAATCCAGGGTTTGTCACCACAAGGTAAGCCAGGACGTGTTGAGAGAACAGCTAGTGTTGATATTGAATTTATATGTAGCCAGATAAGTTTCCTTATTGAAATTACATATGGTTATTAGCAATACTTTGTAGGTGCTAAATAATACAATATTTAGAGTATATATGAGAGAAATTGGTCATTTCGAACCTGTTGAAAAGTTTGTGGCTCTCGGCTACACCTGGGAATTTACTTCCATGAGTACACACATAAATGTGGGGTTCCCCAAGAGGTACGCGACAAGGTGACCTGGCATCAAATGTGCGACTAAATGCTACTATCGAGAAGATTAAATAACGAATACGACAATAAGTTATTGCATGTGACAATTCCGAGCCTTCATCTCACTGAAGTATTTTGAAGTGAAAATAGGATTTTTGTTTTGATACATGGATTCAGATGAACGTAACTTTATTCTGACAACTAATCAAAACTGAACAAGATTGATTGTACGTAACAGACAATTTATTGTTTTACAATGTTTTGATTTGCTAAACGAATGAAACCAACAAATTATGACATGTAAAATGACAATTTTGAAATGTAAAATTTAAAAGTGACAAACACAACCTCCCTATCCACTCTTTGAGAGCCCTAGTAAATTAGTAATATGTACATGCAGCAGTGGTAGTGTACAGCTTATTATCACACTACGCTTTGTATTCTAAAGCCTGTTGTTTGTAATAACACTGTTCACTCAACGTATGTTTTGTGTGTGGGCAGTCAACGATAATCATTGTTTTATCCCGGTTATATGACCTCGGCAATAACAGAACCGTACTAAACGAAAAAACGCAAATAAGAGAAAGCTTTCACACACATATAAAAAATGAACTAGTCTAATCCGCCAGTATAAACTCTGTGCTATACGTAGCCGGTGTGAAAGAAATGATGGTCCCCCAGGAATTATGGTCCCCTTTTTTAACGGCCCTTACTGGCCCTGATTGCGTATAAAATAATGAGGGAAAGAGTTGTATTTAGGTCACCATATAAATCAATGGAGAGTAGGACCATAATTTGATAGGACCTCCTACCCTTTTACACCGGGTCAGGCGCACACTTTAAGAATGTGCTACCGAAGAGGTAAAACTTAAATAATCAAGTGACATCTTTGAAAAAGCTAAAGCATTATTTCCCAAATATTGTTTTGCTTAGATCAGTGGGAGCTCCATTGAATGAACACCAGACACACATTGGCGCATTCTCGCACATTTAGTTCTTGATCTGTCTGCGTCTTCGTGTATCAATTTGATTATACCTGTATTGTTTGAACAAAATGCAGAAATATGATGTATTTATATACTTCGAACTATCGAGCAGTATTTAGTTAGCCCTCGCTGCTCTTCAGTCTACAATAGCATTATGTTCATCCTGTGTGCGAATATATTATGACAAAGCATGCATATATAAGAGGGAGTAAAATGCATGGATGATGAGGCAACCCTCCAAAATTTTGACAAAACCGACTCCACATGTTTGAAACAAGCTTAAATAATTAAATTTTGTTATTTTCACGATTTCTTTTTAATTGCCAAACGTAAACAGACTTGAACACGTGGTTTAATAAGGTAGTTGGTGTTTCCAAACTTTTCGAGTGCAGTGTATACATAGGCTAAGGTCGATAGAAATGATTTTTAAATAAAGATGGCATGGTAATCGGCCTGTGTTTATTTATGAATATTATATAATATATGTTATAAAAAGATAATGCTGGATTCTGTTGGTGCTGCCATCTTTATATCGGCCCGGAGCCTATGGTTTATCACACAATTTCAGAATATGTATATAGTTGTTGATATCTAAATTATTAGTCAAAATCACAAAATTGGTAAACAGTTTCTGAACTATAATAATTGCAATTTCTTCCTTTATCTAAAAGTAATTGTTTGCGAATTGATCGTTATATCGACAAATTTTAATGAAACTACAATCAGCAGAATTTTTCTGAGAAATGATTCTAGAGGAAAGAAACAAAACCCAAAATGTCAAAGCACTTGCTATTGATATCATAATCAAAATCAAACTGACTAATAATCCATAGTTATTTAGCAACGGTGTTTGATGTCCATTATATAATGTATGATCGAGAATAACAAGAACAATGCAAATGAACGCAGCATATCCACCACAGCTCTCGGGTTATAATGAACGTTACCCATCAGGTTGTTTCAGATAAAATTCTCAAATATAGATTTTCTTGATAATAAAGACCATTCAATATCGAATGTCTTGCTATACAAAAGAAATACGACAAACGATTGAGTTATTGTTTCATTGGTCTTATTTTAATTTTAAGAGAAATATCTACATACAAACAATTAAATGTTATGAGTAACTACATAGTTTGCGAACATACCCAGTAAACGAATGTATTCACGTCTACACGGGCGTCGAACCATACAACCTCATTGTCAATAAAATGGATTAGTTGATAGAGCCAAATTAAATTTTGAAAAACTGTCATAACTTTGTACTTCTTGCTCATGGCATTTCTTGTAATTAATGAGTCTTCGTGCCCATCATTTGGACATCAGCGGTTGGTATATTTATCTGTAGAGTCGTAGACACATCTTTAGCCATATGATACATTATTGAAGTCTCTGAAGTGAGCAAAACGAACCGTCGTAAATACGAGTTAGCATTAAATATTATGTAAGCAAAGGGACTCTAGTTAAAATTGGAAGTTTTTTCTCAGCGCTATGTTCTGGCTCTAGTTAGTAAATTATCTGTCCACAGAGATAGGGTTTAAAATGAATTAGAATCTCATGAGGTATAATTTACTCACATGGACTCAGATTAATCCACTGCAGACTGCCAAATTATCCCACACAAATACTTTTTGACATTTTCCTTTATGTGAGTTGAATCCTAAAACATGTCGCGAAGTAAGTAGACAACAGCAAGGGGACTACTATTTCTGGAAGACATAGACCTACGTTATTTGTCTGCAAAAGCATTGGAATATATTGTAAAGGTGAACTAACTTTAGCGAACGAATGTGCCATGAAATGGTAATCAAATTAGGTCTTCATTAATTCGATTACACACCGAGTGTATCAATGTATAACCGTATCGACACTCTCTACAAGGCCTTATAACGCATCTATCTTCGCTGCACGAGGAACATTTGTGGCGATTGTCAAATACGTCCCCAAGAATGTATATTATACATTACTAAATTGATCGATTGGCCGGCTATTCCGAGGATACTGTTAGTTATTATAACCCTGGCTCATTAAGACAACAAGAGGGAAACATCCCGGAAAAACAAGTACTTGCCTTAGCCAATGCGCTTTTTATCCTTTAGATGTTAATGAGAAAATCATGTCACTAATATATCCCTCACAAATAAATCTGATTTCCACGTTTATTTCAAGTCACTTCTTTACATATTTTCAGTTTCGAATGATGATATATATTCCTGAATATACATGTATGAAGCGAACAATATTTCGGAAAGAACGCCGTTGATTGTTCTTAGCAAAATATTAAAAAAATTAGTACCCAAAATTTGCATTTTCATACCATTCATATTGTAGGATGAGTCGAGCACACCCTTTCAT